TGGTTCGCACCGGTGGCGAGCCGTCCGGAATGTCGATTTTGAACGGTAGCAGCGGGCAGCAGCCCAGGTCCGTTGGTGAAGTGGAGAAGACGTCCCTGAAGTTGTGTAAGACATCAGCGAGTTCATCTATGACGGCAGGCGTCCAGCCTTCGCCGTGTAGATTGAACGTAATGGCTCGCATGTGCGGTGGTAGGCGGTCCCAGAGAGATAGGAAGCTTTTCTGTTGAGCGGCATCTAAGCGGTCCAGAAGCTCCTGTGGTGGGAGTGTCTGTGGAGACGGATTGTTGTGAGGGGGAGGGGAGTGCGGTGCAGGTTCCCCGTTATTGCCGGTAGATACGTTGCCGATGAAGGGATCATCACAGTGTGCCGCATCGGCAGAGTGTGTTGGCCCTGGCACTTGGAAGTGCTTTGACTGTTGCCTGTCGCTAAATTGTTGGATAGTGTCGATAGATACACGCATGAGAGGGGCGGCTGCTGTACCTAATACGTCGCCCGGTTCAAGCTCTGCGCATCCTGCGAGAGGTAGAAATTGGCGGCCGTGAGAGACGAAGAGTTCGTCTGAAGGGGACAAGTCTGCAATAGTATCGACTATGTAGTGGCCTTCCAGAGCAGGATATCCATTGGCGCGGACGAGGTTGACTTCGACCAATTGATGATTTGACGAGAGAGAGATTCCAGATTTCCCAGCGTGTTTGAGGTGGAATCTTCCTGGAGCTGCAGAGGGATCTGGAATGTAGGCTGAGGCGCCGCAGGCTTGGTGGTGGGAGAAAGCATATTCTCCCAGCACGCGTTGTGTTGGAGAAGGCGCAGGTAGCACGGTGTAGGTGCGGTTGGTGTAGCGCATGAAGCTGTCGCGTCCTAGGAGAAGTGGCTGTCGCATGGTGTTGGCTGGAACTAAATGAGCCCAGACGGCAAGTGAAGCAGTGGGTTGGTCCTTGTGTTAAAATTGAACACTGAGACGTACCATCTGATTAGTGACGAGTGGTTGAGCGCTACCGAATCCTCCCCAAGAGCGAGTGTTGTTAGTGGCGATGCAGTCTTGTGTCGCGCATCCTGTTGCTCGCATGGTGCCGATAGCATTGCTGTTGATGAACGTGGCTGGAGAGCCGGAGTCCAGGAGAGCGCCGCAGCGGTAACCTGAAGTTGCGGAACCTGAGTGTATGCGCACTTTGGTGGATTGTGAAGCGTCGTCAACGGTGACAATACCGTCAACGAGACCTGGTCCATGTTCAGCAAGTACTTTGGGGTGATTGTCGACGTGGAAATTGGCGGCCGCAATGTGGAGAATGTCGTCGTCGTAGTCCTGCAGACGACGCCAAGTGTGACGAGATGTGACGATCTCTGACGCGGGTTTAGTGTGGAGCTAGTCCGACCACTGTGTGCAGGTTGGAGCCGCTTCGCTTCTTCGGTCTGTTTCCTTCCTTATCCTTCCTTTCTCTCTCAGTCGCTCGCTATCGCTCACTCCCAGGCAAGACACTGAGCAAGGTGGAACGCTTGCACTCGCTTGCTACTGCTAGTAACCATTGTACTGCTACCTGCCTAAAGTCGGAATGCTGGGAACCTGGGCAGGTGGTCGGGATATTCCTGAAAGATATACCCGCCCAGATGGTATCTTAGTCCAAGGGTCCAAATACCATAACAGAAAGCAGCCCCTTTTGGAAACCCCTCTGATCAGGCGGCTCGCTCGGCACCAGACCTCCACACCTAGCACCGGCTCTAGAGGGCGAACGAGAGCATAAACAGTCCAGATTTCAAGAGAGGTATGCAAATAAGATGTCAGGCGTCATCGTATCACTGCCTTTTAAGTGTCACAAATAGACAATGACGAGAGTTTGAAATTTCTCCAACTCCGTTCAATAATAACGGTACCTTTCGAAGAGCACCAAAAAGCAGTGAAAAGAGTATTTCCTGACACCTTAGCGGTACAATGATGAACATTTCGTTTGCATTTGCGAACATTTTGTTGTTTTCGTCCAAATATAATGGTCTTTTTGATTTCGAGAAACTTCAAATCACCACAGTGCCGTGCTTAGGGTTTTTGGGTGTCAGCATGACAGGCAGAAACCTATTTGGAATACTCTTTGCTGCCGTTAAGGTTAAATAAAAGTCAGAGAAAAAGGCATAACCAGTGCCTTCGTCACAGCCACCAACCCCTAGTCCAGGCCACACCAGGGAGCAACACAGTATTTGATACTCGAGTACCCCCCAAGTCTCGCGTCGCCACGGAACCCTCTGACGGTATCTCCTTAGTCACGGCAAGATCCGCACTGTCAGTAGGTGACTACAAGTTTGCCACCCCGCGGAACTGCAAAGGGCAAGTTAGGCTTTTATTATGTGCACCGTGAGTGTTGTAAGGCTCTTTGGAGAGCTTTGGTGCATTGCCTTGGGTTGTGTCGTCCGGATGATTTTCGTTCTCAATTATAAATCCGTTTCAATTAGGATAATCCGCTGTTACCGGTGATGTTGGCTTGGGCACGCGCCCGAGCCCCAAGACTCTCGTAGACGTCGATGCCCAAAGCCTCGAGGGTAGGGCTGCCGAGGATAACGACATCATCGTCGCCCGGCATGACAGCAAACGGGAACGGGTCCAGCGACACCAACCCCCAGTTGGTGTGCAAGGCGATACGAACTGGCACCGTCCTCTCCGTGACCTCGCGCACGCGGCCGTCGGCGACCTTCAGCCTTCCCGCCTCCTGCATGCCCCCCACGATCTGAACACCAGGAACAGCCGATCATCCTAATTGAGAACGAATCCACAATTGAGAACGAAAATCAGCCGGATTTCTCCCCAAACCAATGATCGTGGGAAGCTCCCCCAAGAGTCTCAACACCGTCGCGTGTAATATTAAGTGAGTGACTCGTAGCCACGTCATTGAAGTGGATCCGTTACGGAAAACGATCATGCTTAAGTCCCGATTGCGTGTCCCCTCCCATCCGGCTTACGCCCCAGTACCTCCACCACCAAATGCACCAGACAACAACATCCCGCCTTGGTAGAACGAACTACCAACGCACATCTGACCGAGCCGTCGAAGAAATAAGCACAAAGGATCAGTAAAACGCCCCTCTGTATTCCAGTAAACTCAATTGTGGATCCGTTCTCAATTAGGATGATCGGCTGTTAAGTCAGTGTGTGTGATGTGCACGCGGTAAGCGTCACGTTCGAAGAGGTGCAATATCTGGACGATGACACGAGTACTGTTCATGACGGTGAAACAGGGACACCGTTTCGTGTGAAAAGGTCTTTTAAAGAAAAACGACCTGATCGATTGTCTTCACGAAAGCGTGCAAGCGCCTTTCTGTCCTCAAACCTGATTAAGCCAGGCTTGATGCCATGATTGTTGAACGTGTTTAGATCAAGACCATCCTCGAAAGGGGCAAGCTTTACACCGTGACTGCCGACCTGCTTTATTTGTTTCATTTCAACGACTTTATTGCCACACTCTTTCTTCATCCAACGTATCGTTCCCGCCATTGCCGCTCACCACACGTTCCCATCGGGCAACAACCTGAGTACACATTGAAATCGTTATCACGCGCGGTCTAGCGGCCACATTTGCATATCCGCCCCGTTCCCCCGGGCCGTGGTGCTCGTCCTCTTGAGCCATGGCTGGCTCTGGCCTCCTTCGCCTGTTGTTTCTTTTCACGGGCGACGAGCTCCACACGCGGGCGGGTCCAACATGTCGGTGGCGACAAAGCAAAGACACCTCTACAGCTCCGGATTCCCGAATCAGTGCGTACACGGCTTCCAACTCGTCCGTTCACGGCTTCTTCCCGGTTACAGAATGATATCGTCCCTCCGTTGATCTGTGCTATGTGTGCCAGGTGCATGCATTTTCCGGGAGGACCTTGGCGACGTTGTCGTCTCCCCTCGTCGCGTACATAACCTCCTTGGCATTTTCCGTGCAACGCCAGTAGCTTGTCGATCCCCAGGCAAATTGAAATCACCTCGCCCTCGATACCTTCGTCTACTTGGGTGAGGACGGCCAGGTAATCAAAGTTTGAAATACTGTGCGAGAATTGAGCTCAAAGAAAGCCGAATTCGGTCGTCCGCTTGTAACAAACAGTCTATGACGTGATCGCAACGCTTGCGCTTGAGCGAGATCTCCTTTTCTTCGATTTCCTGGCGCTTACGTTTAAGGCACTGCTCGACCACTTTTTTTGGCGAACTGCTTGCGATCTTGACCAGACAGAAACCTAAATCCGGCTGGCATGTCATCAACACCCGCGATCGAGGCCTGCTTGTTCGATTCTTGGTCGACGTCGATCTTGGTGTCCATGGCGTTGTTCATACTGCTGTTGATTCTGGTTTTCTTAGCAGTAGTTTGTTTTGGCTTTTGAAGACGGCGATGATCAGTTGTGAGCGACGGGCACGTGCCTTTCAAGTCGCATGTTTCGTGTAAACACTGACGAAACGCTCTAGAAAGTTGATTGGTTAAACACAAAATATCTGTTAGTACAACCGCGTCTGTTAACGTCGACTTGCACACAGCAGTCGAATGGCCCAAGAAGTTTTATTCGTGTTTTGTCGGTTGTCACACACCCGCGTGGTGTGTGAGAACGAAGAGAGACCGGAGAGAGAGCAGGAAGAGAGGGTGGAGAGTGCGATCTGACAGGCGGTACCACTGCTGTAGCACGCTGTGGCTGGCGTATGCGGCGAAGGCTTGGGTAGAGAAAACACAGAGTGATATATATTATTATCCACTCACAGACGCCTGGACTGTCTGCACCTGACGGTTACAGTAACAGAACGCCTTCACAATACTGTATCAAGCACATACAGCAGAATAGAGTCGGTCGTACACAGCAAACACCCCAACATGTCCTCTCAAGAACGTACGTCATTCTCATACATCAGCTACGAATCTTCTCTTGATGTCCTCTCAAAACAATGACCTCTCGAAAACACAACTCACAAGTACTTGCGATCTCTCAACTCAAACACAAAATAGTCACTAACTTCCATCAGTACAAGCAGCGAAGACTTTCCCCCTACACAGATCTCCCGAGTTCCCTTCAACACAGATCTCCCGATTTAATTCACCATCCAACCCTCAAGACTTCGAGTCTGAATAGATAACCAAGAAATCAGGTTCAAAGCAAAGCTTGGAGGCAAAGACATTAATACGAGGACACTGTCCCGATAGGAAAATAATGTTGTCCCAATAGGAATGACACCTGCACGATTCCTGCACAGAACCCGAGCAGCTATAGTGCAGCGACCATGGGCCACGACGGTGTCCGACTAGGTTCACGCTATGAAACAAGCTGCGATATATTGTGGGACGTGATCGTTTTCCTATTCTACAACCAGCACCACAGGAGAGCAGGTACCCGAACAAGGGCTGCACAGATCCCAACGTGACAACAAGTCGGCCACCACGGCACATCAACTTTACCGCACAACCACTAAAACAAACTTCGGTACAAGGCCCTGACGCCATCACCAAGCTAGGGCAGTGGGGAGGGGCTGAGACGTTCATGGGGTTCAGCAATGCCACGAAGCCCCCGTGCACTACCCGCACCACCGAAGAATCAGCGTCACAACACCTCAACCGAAAACGATTGGGCGAAGTTCCTCACCCCAAACGGCGAAAGGCACAACACAGGGTGTGTGTCAGCCACGCCGCTGGCTCCCTCTTCGGAACACCATCGATAGATGCATGTCGGGGGAGATGCCCTGAAAGTTGCTGCCGAGACGAGTAGCCGACCCGTAACCGTCCGCCAGTCATATGGGGGGGGGGGCAAGCACAAGCACAAGCGTTGGTACGGGGTATGTGATTGCCTACGGCTGGCATGGTGTTCTTCGCTTGGCGATGGACCTTTTCTTCTTGTTCGCAGATCTGGAGGTCCCTATGGTGCCACCAGGGTCGTCCGAAGCGTCTGGGGCTAAGCGCGAGACTCTCCTCCGTTGCTTCGACCCGATTGACGCTGCCGGCGGCCCCAACGGGGACCCCGAAACCGCGGTCGTCTCGACGCCAGCCGTGGTCGTTGTGGGGACAGCAGCGGTCGTGGCGACAGGTGCCGCGGCGGAACTATTCGTTGTGGTCGTTAGCCTAACTTCGCTGCCCGCCAACGCAGCGAAGACGTCCTTGCAGTTGCCGCGCTGCCAAGGAGAGCAAGGAGGAGGAGAGCAAGGCAGAGCAGGTAAGTAACCCCCCGGGGGACACGAGAGGCATTTTGGTTTGGGTTCTTTTGGATGCGCATCGCCTTGGTTATTCCCAGTTCACGTGTGTGAACTGGCGCTCGAAACATCCATGCAACCGGAAGAGAGTCGAACATCAATCGCACACGAGATGGTCGGAAGAAAAACAAGAAATGAGTCTTGTACAAACACCGCCAACTGTCGGGGGGAGGAGGGCAACAAGAGACGGCTGTGTTGTTTTGTTTTCTGCAGCTGCTGCTATGAGTGCTAGCATTATTTGTGGCTGTTGTCGCGTCGGTTTCGTGCCGGCGGTCTGGCTTAGTCCCATCCTTACCGCCGAGTTGCCGTGGAAAGAAGTTATCCCGCTAAGGATCGTGTCCTCGCCGGAGACAGTGTACACGGCGCCGCCCTGCTCAATAATGTTAAAACATCCGCACAAAGACAAGGCTGACAAGGTAAGGTTGGCAAGGCCAGATGCGCATTGTTGAAGGAGAAAGAGAGCGGGCCATCTCGCTGCGCCAAGATGGTGTTTATCGGCTATTTTCGAGCAGGAAAAGACCGTGTTGCCCCGAACGCAACAACACAACGCGGTCTGTGGTGAGTCCAAAGGGCACAACGAAACTTCGATCAGGTGCAAGTATATTCTTCATAAAACAAATATCAACCCAACGCTAGATATATGCGGAGTTGCTTTCTTCCACGAGCTAGCGGCGCTTTTTTTTTTTTATCATGGCAAACGGCATCAATAGTGAGAGGCCGCCCAACCATCCCCTCGCTCCATCCTGCATCAAATAATCGGGACAAAGGCTGCATGTAGTGCCTAGCGATCGGGTCGAGTGCAGCGATCTAAACCAACGATCTCATCGGCCGGAGCAAACAAACAAAAACGCAACACCAATGCCAGGTATGTTTTTCTTATTAAGAAAACGAAAGCACCACATTTCCAGTGCACTCCTCTACACATGGTATTATGACCCAAGCTATGGTGACGCGACGGTCGACAGCCTCCACAACTATCGTACCATACCGTTTACCGTACCGCATAACCGGCCTAACGGTACGAAAAAATAACGAAAAAATCCTGTCCGCCACAGTAGTCAATCATCATGGAGCCCACGAGGCCGATGACAGACCAGGGAATCGTGCATGCGACACCAGTAACCCTCCGCTCAAAACACGATACTGTACAGACGAAAATCATGCCGCCAAGGCTCGAGAAGAGCTATCCAACGCTGCCAAGGTGGCCTCGGGGAATAAGGGAAGAAGTCCGTCTTACATCGGTGGCGCTGACGCCGTCGATGAAGGAGGCATCACCCATGATCTCCAAGTAGCCCCGGTTAAACAAGTGCCCCCCCCCTGTCTCTGTCTCTGGCGGCGATGGCGGCAACGCCGCTTCCACGTTCTGGGAACTCCCCTGTGGATCGATCGATTGGACGGCCAGAGGACGACGGAAAATGTAGCACCAGTAGAACAGTGATACATATATATATACACATGCCTGTACTCGAAGGAAGGTTTTGTTGATGTTGATGCTGTCCACAAGACAACGGCAGTGTCACGAACATGTACTGACGCACCCAGGAAGGGAGGGGCAAACATCACTGATGGGCAGTGGCAGCACTGACGTCAGCAAAATGACATCATAGCGTGATGCTCCCCCAAATCAAAATATTCCAACAACACGCAGTACAACAAACTGGCATGCCTCTCGAACGCATTGATGGCGTAACCGTAAAACTGTCAAACGGGTGCCCGGACAGCCCGTACACGACGACGAATGCCCATGGACTCCAAGGCAAACCCACCCTCCCGCCAATACCAGAACAGAAAACAAAAAACGAAAGCCCAAACGCCGTCGCTACGTTGGAAACCCGCCCACCCATTCCAACACCACTCAAATCTCCGCGCCAAAATAGTGCTCCGGACCCCCGATAAACCAGCACGCACCGCCTCCACCCTCGCCGCTGCCGCCGCCGTGTTGCCCCTAAAAGCAGCCGAGGTTTCGAAGGTCGATACCCCCGCGTTATACACGGAGCCCCCGCTACCGGCCGCCCAGTTCCTGAGCATGGTCGACCTTCTCGTAAAAATCGTGGTGCTACCCTCCTCCGTAAACACGGCACCCCCATCCGCACCTACCCGTGTCGAAGCGCCTGCAGGAAAGTCGTGACGAAAACAGCATGAAGCATGGAACTTGGTTTCAGCGAGTCCGGTAATCGAGAGGGGCCTTGGGGGGGGGTTGGGAGGGCGAGGGACAGTCAGAGGAGAACCGAGATCGCTGCCACAGAGGCCATCTAGAAGAAAAGTAGACCAATTAATTCGACCGTTACATGCTCATCCCTGTTGCCCATAGTCCTCCGCATGTCTGTTCAGTAGGGATTGTTCGTTCTGATACGGTGGTCACGAAAAAGGTCTGTTACCTATCCCTGGGGCCCCCACTTCTCTTCCGCCGCGCCTCCTTTCAAATCATCGCCACTAGGGCCTAAAAAAAATCATTTCCCTCAACAATGACATTGCCAAATCGGACCTCGTACATAGTACTCTCGAATGTAGTTGCGTACAAGGTTAATGGGGGCTGACGTTCCCGCGTTTCGGACGAAAGCCTGTTTCACTTAAAAATAGTTGGGCACAAGAAACACAACACCACCACCAACAAACAACAACGTTGAGGTCGGCAAGCGCGACACCGAACACTAACCACCCGCCGATGTACCTCCAGACGCTCGGTTGCCATTGAAGAAGCTTCTTCGGAAGAACTTTGCCCAACCGCGGTTGCACAGAGCGCCCCCTGTCCATGCCGAATTTTCCTCAAAGCTCGCCAATTCCGAGAACTCTACTCTACCGGTGCCCCCGACAGACACCCCGCCCCCGCACGAATGTGCTTCCTGGCCCCGAGACCCCTGCCCGAGAGCGCGGTTTCCCACGAAATGCGCGGCGTTTTCGAACGTGACCTGCGGCAGACGAATCCACCGGAGAGGGTGAATACGCTGGGTAGACATAAGCTGCAGCCTTACAACGTATGGGGCAGGGGGCGCTCGTGTAGCAAGCGAGGCAACGAAGTCACAGCAGTTCTGGGGCGAGTTCCGCGGAACTCTCTGAGTGGTTCAGATGTGGTACTGCTGTAGACACGACACGGTGATGCAGATACTCACCAACTACGGGGATTTGAGAAGGTGTCGACCGGTGCACAGCATCAGATTTGCGAGCTGTTAGACCGAGACCTATGCGAACCTCCCTCGCTGCGCCGTTCAGGACCTCTCCTCTACTAATGCACACACTACAATAGCCAGGCAACCCTCGCCAAACAAACCAGATAGATCACACTCCGCCTTCACGCACTCAGTAGATCCCCACGCGCCTTGGCAGTTCGATACAACCACAAAAACATGTTCTAACAGCGCTCCGGGTCTGTGAGAACAGAACAGAAAGCGGGCAAACACGGCAGGCAGATGGTAGATATGGTAGATACCTCTCCGTCCGCGTGGAACGCCCCGCCGGAGTAACCGTTTTGGACCGAGTTCCCCTCGAAGTGAACCGGCACCAGAAACACAGCCGCGCCCCCCTCCTCCACCTCCAGTGCGCCTCCATTCGAATGCTACGTGAAAGGTTTAGGGGGGGAGGGCGTGACGTTATCATGCGAACCTACGTTTCGATGTCGGCGCTGGGCTCAATCTCCATTCGTCCAACAGATCATCATGAGCGGCCTGGATGGAACGTACGACACATGGCAGCCCGGCGTGCAAGAGAATCGTGGAAGACAATCTTCAAGGGCTACTTGTACCACACAGGATTCGGAATCGATTTTCACACTACCGCCGCAATGTACCAGGGAAGTTCGGCTTCGGGGATTTTGAAACAGCGCTTCAGACCGTTCAAGGGAATTCGGAGCTGGGGAATTCGGACAAGACATGTATAGTTCTTAAGATCGTGCTATTAATAGTGTACCAGGTTCGTCGGTTCCGGATGGTGGGATAGAGACCCGAACGAGATTCAGACACACAAACAAACAACCGCCATGAGATTCATGTGATACATGTGGGCCACACAAGAGAACACGATTGTCCCTCCTGAAGTTGCTGATGATTGACAGGAGATGTAGTGAATTGTGTACCGCCACCCCCGCCGATTGGGGATGCAAACTGCAGCACTATGCAAGCAGACTGTTGTAGAACGCACCTGTGGCGCCGCGCCCTCTAGCGTCAGGGCGCTGGTGCCTTCGCCGGGCCCCGCATATCCCATGTCGTCCAACGAATAATCGCCGGCCACCCCGACGCTGAGCATCGCGCCGCTCTTGACGACGACGCGGACGTTGCGGAGCCTCAATCCCGACACAGGGGGATCCCTGTACCCTTCGTCTTCGCCTTCGCCTTCGCCCACCCCTTCGCTTACGCTGCCGGGGCTAACGTGGATCGCTAGCTCGATGCCACCGCCGACTGTTAGCGTGACGAGCTGCTGCCGGTACAGCAAGCAAGGCGGCGACGAGAAAAGAACAAGGAACATTAAAGTCACAGAACTGCTGCTGTCGTTGGTTGGGTTTCGTTTTTGCATTGAAAGCGTTTCCGTTGGAACGGGGGCCCGCGCATCCATAATAGGGGAGGTGGGTCGTGTGATCAGGTGGGCACAGGCTGGCGACGTGGTGCGGCCCTGGCAGTCCTTCTACCATATCTGTTTAGCGTTCTGCAAGCCAGCACCGAACGACCGTACGAAGGACCAGTGTTCGAGTCCGGCAGCTACCAACCTCTGCGGGTTAAATTTGGAGCGATGAGTAGAGGGCCGAAGGGAGACGCGGCAACTTAGGGATGGCAAGCACGCCCCCCGTGCATTTCCCCTCGAAGGCGACGAGCTACAAACACCGCCGTGCAATCGACACCGATCAAAGAACCATCACCACGATGCAAATATCACCGGGGGTTAACGAAGCACCAAGTACTGGGACCGCCTTCGCGAGAGTAATAAGTTCATGAGGAAATAGAACGGGGAGGGGGGCCGCAGACTCTATCCCCTGGCCCTACCCCTAACCCAACTTCCCCGATTGCATGCTTTATCCATCATGTTTTCTGAATCGAAAAACCCTGGAAAGGCTACTGAGGTACCGAAACATCGAAAGAGCCGAAGCACCTTCTCTCAGCACAGACAACAGTTGCGAAACAGCCACCCCGTTCGCTTCGCATTCGGTCTCACAGTCAATCTACCTGGCACTTCGTACATACATGCGACCGACGCGAACAGCAGCGGATTTCGACAACTCAAATCGCGAGAAATGTGGAGCAATGTACAGTACAGTGGTACAATTGTGGGTCGCCCAGATGAGGGAGCGTTAGACCAAAAAGGGGATTTGGTTCGGAATCGACATGCAAAGTTATTGGTGGCGCGTTCTGTCTATCTGTCCGCCGGATGGTCGCTCGGTTTGTTTGTCAGTCTGTCAGTGCGTGTGTCTCTCTCTTCTTAGCTGCAGCATCTCGAGCCCCGTGCCCTGCTCCGGCACAACCCCTGCCGCGTGCTTCATGATGTATGCATAGTAGTTCGGGAAGCATGGAGCATAACTTTCCCGTGCAACCCGAAGGAGCACAAAAGCAATCCATTATTCCAGTCATCGACAGCACTACAGCATGTATATGTATGTATTATAGATTTACTCCGTATTCCTTTCGGGAAGCACCAAGCCGCGCGAGGATAATATTGGTCAACACACTAAACAGCAGGAAATGGAAAATGGTCCCTGCAAACTTCACAGTCCAGATGGGTGTGTGTGTGTTATTTTTTTGTTAATGGCATCGACCGCGCTAACCGGCTTACCAGTGAAAAGACGTCAGTCTCTTAGCGTGGTTGAAAATGCAAAATGCTTCTAAAGGCAGACTATGATGAGGGTGAGGGTTTTTAACACTTGATGGAAAGAAGCGGTTGACGGGGATCTGCTAGGAAACTTCCCGAACATTCATACAACCTCAAGGCTTCCAGCATACATCCCGAGGAACCTGTAGTGAGGTAGGCGGGGCGGAGGAGGAGAATATTTACCCCGATGGATTGATACAATTTTCCACGATGGATGCAAAGATGCAACGGATCCTTCCGAAACTGCTGGTTCCTGGTTCGAACCGGGCTGCTGTAGATTTGTTTTTGCTCGGTTCCGAACCAATAGGTACGAACACACGACAACGAAGTTAAAATAGAGAAAAACAAAAAGTGGGTCCAAAACATAGATACAGAGAGTTTAATTAAGGAATAATAAACACACAGAAAGACTACCCATTCGAGATATACCCACAGTCGAACGGGATGTGGTGGAGTCAGTGAGTGGAGGAAAACCGGCTGGGCTGGACTTATTTTGAGTCTTTTTAAGTCTATACACTGATGATGAATTATAGCAGTGATGCCAGCTGGTGCTAAGTACAAAAACAATCTGCATAGGTAACTTACATTTTACAGTACATCATTTTGAACTTGAGCATGAATGTGGGCCCGGTGAAGAACTCCCACACTAAAACCTACATATACAAATATGCATTAGCGGTCATTTATAGCCCACCATGGAACGAACTATTGTAACCTCGGCAATAGCCCTCGGCATGTGTGTACTACATTGTGCTTGAAGAGCGGGCTCTTCCTGTAGATGACGGATGGCAGTGAAGCTTGGGCCTAAACAACGAGTCGGTTAGACCATGGAGAGAGAGAGAGTTGGCCACGTGGACAGGGACAGCAGTAGATATATATGCAGCTCGTTCTCTCCGGGACAAGCGACAACACACAACACCCCCACCACCGACAGAGCGAAGCAAGGGGGAGTGTTTTTGTTCCCCCACCCATTGCCCCACCACAGGATAAACATGAATATTTGATACAGCCGCAGCAGTACCGTCAACCAAATTCTCACTAATTTACAACACACACTAGTTTCTTCTCGCACACGCTGTTCCCTCCTCTATCTCTCGCACACAACAGCAACTGAAGTACCTGTCACACTATCTATACGCTACAGCAGTATCTATGGATTGGCAGATTGTTTTTCGGTTTACCGTGCACGATATGCTTCATCACACGTCCGCACAGAGATAGGCCGTAACGGAAGGAACATTCTTGTTCGCATTTTTTCGGTGCGCCAGTCAGTCTCCCCAATTGACTGCTGTAAAAGTTAAACCGTGTGGAAAATAAGAACACGGAGTTGCGTGTGAAGAGAAGGTGCGTGATTTAGCTGCTGGCAATGCAATCTGTCGCTGTGGCAATTTTTCTATCTTGTCTCTTTTGTGATTGCCGTCCGCAACTGTATGTGCTGCTGTATACGATGCATGCATTTCAAAAATGGTAATTACATACGCATATTATTGCTTTTCCCTTGCTTAGAGTTCTCTCCAATCTCTCTCCGTCTCCCACTACAGCAGTACAAGTACACGATGTCCCTTACGATGTGCAATTGCAATGAGAAGACAGCCTGCCCCCGCCCCCCCTCTCTGATGGGAAGAAAAGAGAGACTCTGGCTGCACGGGTTGGGTACATACGGCGTTCCGCTTCTACTTTGTTACCACCGTACAATAAATGTTTGGCATTCGTTAGGTTATAGCCCTGGTGCTCTCGGTGTCTCCATACCTGTACTGCGAGCAATCAAGAAATAAAGAGCCCTCTGCTCTCTCCAAAAATATTCCGTTCTCCTCTCACACTATTGTAGGCTGCCCACAGACGTCTTTCGGCGCTCAAACTTCCGCACCTTCTCACACACGATAGCTCCAACGCCGTGAAAGGAGAGGTGAAGATCCTCCGTTATCGGTGACGGCAACGCCTCCAGCCCCGCGCAGTCTGAAATGGGCACCGTCCCAGCCGTTCTTCGCCTTGGCCGTGTGCACTGGGGAGGCTGAGCTCCGGTGGAGATGGCAAGCGCAAGGACACACGCCCACCGCGAAGCAAACCTGCACATGCACCGCTTCCGCTGTCTACACTACGAGGTTTTCCCTTGTCGGGCACGTCGATGAAGGTGGCCACAGCAGGGATGTGCCGAAGAATGGGTTTAGCAGCAGCAGCAGCCGCCGCCGAAGGCGTGAGAGGAAAAAGACAAATGAGACGGACCGACGGCCAAAATACCAAAAATAACTGTGATGCGTCCCACCTCAAATACTCCGAGGAAAGAGATAAGCAGAAGAACCCAAGCAGGTTCCCGTTCGGCATGAGGTGCGGCGAGATCTTGTGGCGAGGGTTGCGAAAGCCTCGATTTTTTCGAACGAAACACACAAACAAAGCGGGCACTGTGGCGTTCCACAAAGACCTCGCCGCACGCTCGCACACGTGACGTTGCAAGAGGTGAAGGATACGAACCACCGGGAAGCGAGCTGAAGCTTTTCCGCCGCGTCTATCAAAGGAAGGCCGGCCCGTCGTGGGGTGTTTGGTGTATTGTTTTTTTTATTCGCCGACAAGTCGCGAAAATATACAGGAAGACCGGGTCGCCGTCTCATATCGTAGGGGAACAATCAGAGGGTGGGCGGCAAGCCCCGGCGAGGGGCACGGTCGACGGCGAGAAGCGTTTCGATATCGAGAATAGCTCAGGAGAGCACGAGCTCAACGTCAGAGAGAATAGCTCAGGAGAGCACGAGCTCACGTCAGAGCATGGCTCCACGAAAGGCGTCGGCGTGCGCCACAGGAGGCAGGATGATAAACCCTTCTGTCGAGCCCGCCTCGCGCCGCGAGTCCGCCCAGGAGAGGCGCGACTCCGAGGGTAGGGCGAGGCGAGCTTCAGCTAGAGCAAGCTCTAGAGAAAGCCACAAGCGTCCGTCGGCAGGTGGGCGTGACAGTGCGAGCAAAAACGGTTCCTTGGTCTTGCCGCAGGGAGGAGATTCGACGACGAGTGCGGCAGCACTGCAAGCCCGCAACCAGCGGCGGAGTATCGGGCTCAAGGTTAGGAGATGACCCGAACTACATACTATAGTACAGAAAATTCGTCGCATTACGTTGGAGCTGATGATGAGATGGATGCGTACTGCTGAGTGTTGTAATTGTGTACAACTCGGGGGCTGGCGTTATTGTGGTCGTTGAACCTTCTGTGCCTACCTGCTCTCGATGGCATATTTTAGGTACACGGCAAAAGAAAGATGGAGAAAAACAACCGCTATGCATACAACACTACGTGCATGTGCCGGTACGATATGCGTTCATGCCGCCTCTTCTATTTCCTACTGAAGTAGATGAAGTACTACAGCAGGGCTCGGGCAAGGAAGATCAACCTAGACCGCTTGTTCTCCGAAGAGCTGTTGCACATAGGAACCATGAAATATACAACAATACGGGGGGAAGCTGGAGGGTAGATTCTGTCGCGCTTCGAAAAACATTGTTCCGTCTAGACAAATACGTTGTGTGTTGCCACCGCTGTAGAGTTTGGGTTAGGGAATAGGGTCTGCGTCCCCCCTCCTTGTTCTATTTCGTTGTACAAGTACTTGTACTTAATTTCCCGCGAAGGCAGTCCTATCACCGGCTTGCGTCCATACATGTAATAGACTACACGTCTGTGGCCCACCACCACGCCCCGGAACGCGTTACTACCTCTCTGCGCATCAGAGGTTGAGTGTCAACACGCATATGAAGGACAGCCTGATCAACACACTGGAGGACGTCGCACGAGACGTGAGGATGGGGCTTCAGACGACAGGGATCGAAAAGCTCCAAACAATCATGACCGAGGCCAAAGAGAAGGTGAGCGCCTCCAGGAGGCTGCCGTTTCAAGAGCCGGGGATCTCCCTTGGCCTTTTTACAACACGCTACAACATGAATACTAGTCTGCAAATCAACTTATCACACAACTTGCAGGTTCTAGTTTTATTCCGTTAGAGTATCGATGTAGTGGAACAGGAACACGCGCGTCTCTTAAATACGCACAACCAGCCAGGTCTCCGCATTGAAGGTCATTTTCCTTCAGGTTTTGATATTTTCTGTTGTGGGCGCCAGTCTACACCTTTCTCTGTGTGTTTGACGCACCAGCCGAGGTCCCACAGGAGGAACTCCCCGCCTTCCTGCCGGCGGTGCTTACCCTTTTCTGTTCTTACACATGAATTTTTGCCTAGCGTACTTTCCAGTTGTTCATTGACAATACATCAACATGGGAAAAAGAAAATGTCCGAGAGAACGCCCGTGTCGCCGTCACCTAACCCCCCCAAACACATCCCAATATATTCTCCGCATGCCGTATCCTTTCACCGCACCCAGGGGCTGGGCGTGAGCAACCTATTCCACTTTTTCCTGCTTCAATCCGAGGGCGGGAAACGCGAGTCCATGGAACGGAAAGCAAGCTCATCGCTGGAAACATCGGGAGAAACCATGGAACCTGTCGCCGTGAGTTTTCAACGAAACCCTGTACAGCGTTGGGGTTCATCACGACGCACGTAGTTGAACATGTGGCATCATGCCTACTTGAGGAAACCCCGCGTGATATTCGCAGGCCCTGGACGAAGTCTGTTATAAAAATAATGTAGGTTTTGGCGTGTAGGCCACCCGCACCCGTTGCTTGAAGAAAGTTGTGCTTGCCAGGATACGGCCATGAGAATGCACCCGGACAGTGTCAAGCAGCTCCCATGGCCGCCAGACCGATCACGTCTGTGACCAGACCGATCACCCCGTGAAATGCCCAACAACTTACCTATTTTAGCCGCAAGAACCTCCTAGAACGCTGCCTGGTATCGATTTCTACCCCACTGATGATTCGACCTTCATGGTTGTTCCGTGGACACGCTACTTTCTAGGCGTTTTCTTTCACCGTTCGATCTATCCCCGACCGGACCCACCCCCTTGAGCGCCAGACTCTTGGTTTTCGTCGCGATGTCGTCATTGGTTGCTGCCGCTGCAGGAGAAACGCGAGGGTGTTACGGGAGGATTGTTCAAGGACACAGAATCCTCCAAAACAAGGGCTAAGGCTGTGCGGACCTCCAAGTCCGGGAACAGGGCGTCCACAGAGCTGGTGGGTGAAACGCGCATGCTTGTTTCTACCGAGAAATCTACGGCGATCTCGTGGCTTGTGGTTCCTGTTGCGCTATGGGTGTGGCGGGCGGGGGGGAGGATCCGACGCGCGGGGAGGGGAGGTAACGCTGGTCTTGATGCCCGCCGAGCTTGAGTTTGCTGCAGCCCGTGCCGGCTTCGGACATACGCGCAACGTTGCCTGAAAGGTGCAAGCTTACTTTTCACGACTTGCACCTTGGCGCTCCACGGTTGCGTTTGCCCCAACGAAAACACAAACGAAACCAGCGTGCGCATGAGCGTACTTTCACCACGTAGTGTACGGCGACACCTCCCTCGTTCTCTCTAGATGCCGTCGCTGAAGAAGGGCGCCCGGCCGAGCACCGCCAACTCGAAACGTACTTCATCAGACCCAGCCATGAACACCGCGCGGGATGAATCGAGTAATGCTTCCGGTAAGGAAGAGTGGCAAGCAGCAGTCATTTGTTCCTTTCTCGTTTTTCCTCGGAAATAGCTTGTTCATGTGTTATGGAGGCCTACATACCTTCATCCTTCTCTTTCTAAACCTCTTTCGGCGTGGTCTACGAAATGAATCCATCCCCAACGATTTCGAATGCTGCGCTTCCGGTCGATGAGTCCAGACGATTCGCGTGGCCTCTGTCTATATGCTTCTGGGATGTTTAAAGGTGTTCCGATGAACGTCTTTGCGGAGGTGCCATGTTGGAGTGTCGTGGTCGAAAGGGACCTGAAACCTTGGCCACAGCCGCCACTGAAATGTGTATTTTTCCAACCTGTGGCAGGTACTCATTGCTGGAAACGTAAGCGATTTGCCCCTCTACTAAGTAAAACACGTCTACTTCCCGCAGGCCGCCAAAGTCGATGTATGGCATGTATCTCGGCCGACAGCGGCGGTGCAACAGCAGTTGTATTTCTCATGTGTTTGACTCTAGGGGTATCGAGCTTAGATGTGGATCGCCTTCTCGCAACTGATCCGTCCATGCTTATGCGGCACCTGCCAACAGAACATATGCATAAACCGCCTAAACCGGCCACGCTACACCCCAGTCTCGGCGATCATGGTTGAACGATGTGCGACCATCGTTGTTTCAACCACAGGCTCTTCCCAAATTGACGATCCCGCGACCAAAGAAGGGGATTCTTCGACGTCCGGACGAAGAAGAAGCAGCATGTCTCGGAGGTGAGGCACGCCTTGGTGCAGGCCCGGAGGAAGCGATGGCGGCAGTGCAACCTCCTTCTCACAGCAGAGTTCGTGCTCAAAACCACTAACAAGCCGTTGCTGCTTCCTGTTGTAGAATCGCACGCACAAGATGGTGTTGTCGGTGATCTCCAGGCGAACATCTGACCCACAACGCCCCTATCTCTGCGCCATACTCCAGTCGCTGAAGTCTCATGTGATGGCGTCTTTGCCCCCATCAGGCGGTAGTGGCACCAAGAAAACAAATATAACGTTAAGTCGCCACAACGATGACAGTATCGACCACGCAGCCATACTCTTGGCCCATCGGTTCGATCAGGTGGGTGGTTTAACTCTGGGCTGAGTCGAATGCCTTCACTGAGAGAGTGCTTAGCCCTGGCAGTCGGAACGGCCCGGCACGCAAGCACGCGCGGCAGCACATGGCTGAATGCACCCTCAAGGTTCGCGGGGTGGTTCATGTGACAGTCCCGCCCATGTCAATACAATGCCACTGCGTTTGCTTCGTCTCAACTCCGTAGGTCGTCTTTGGCGGAGGAGGCGATGATGCGCGACAGGCTCATCACGTCCGCCTCCTTTCAGCACGGCTTGGCAACGCTTGGTTTCAACATCAGCACCGAGGCAAGGATAATGCGAAGTGTTTACGAGGCTTTGTTGGGGTTTGCAGGAGAATTCTGAAGGTCTTTTCTTCCTCGTCAGTGGACTGGTTTGTGAATCACCATCGGTCCCACGCGCCCCGGCCAACCTGTGCCTATAATATTGTAGTAATGACCACACTTTCAGCCGTGGCCACGACTGTTGTAGAATGCTTTGGTCGTGGCGATCACCTGCAAGGCCAAGTAACAAAGGATGGCATTCGATGCTCCACGGACGCGCAACCGTCCAAGAGAGTAGGGTTAGAGAAAAATCTCTCCGTACCGCCAAATTTATTTCTATCATCCCGCCGGTAATATGTGGTTGCTCGTCCTTTGCCATAGTGTAGTGACACAACTCGTTATTTTGTGGGGAGGCGTTTTCTTAACAAGATTCGATCGTTTGGGGGCGGCGGCTTGATTCTGTCCGCCGTGCGCGTGTGCAGGAGACCGCCAAGATGTTTGATCAACTCGACGCCAACGGCGACGGTTCCATCGATCTCGCAGAGTTCACGAGGTTTTGCCTGGAGGTGGGCAAGGAAAATAGCTTGCCGGGCGCAACAAGTATCAACTGAGGCGAATATCATCCCTCCCCCGCGGGGATAAGGTCATTTCTGAACAGTGATTCCGTCTTGCTCTATTGACCCTAGCCGTTACGCTATCTATAGGCATGTCGGCTGCTCCACAACATATTGATGGCAACGTTTTGGTGCACTTGAAGGTGCAAGCAACATACCGACGTCTGAGCGATTCCTGATGCAACTTCATCGCACGACCTTCTCGTTTTCCCTATCCCGCGCTTATATTTCGTACCACATATTATATGGGATAATATGGTTCAGATTCCGTCCATGACCTGGAAGGCCGAGCGTGCTAGGAGGGGGATCCTCGGAAACAACGCCGGGGAAGACGGAGATCGGTGAGGACGAGTCTAAGGAGTAAAACAGGCACACTCATATTTTCACAGTTCTTACTGGGCGTGAACCGAGCGATCTCCCACCGCGTCCAATACTTTTGTGGGCAGTGACAGTATCCCACAAACGTAAATGCGAATTATGATAGTGTCGGTCGCTTGCGCTAAGCTTCGTCTCCCTTCTCGAAATAGTCGGCTCGGCCATCGACTTGGACTTTCTTCTCGCTGCCGTCGAACTGTCTTCTCCTGCCCCTTCCTTTGGTTCCCCAATTTGCCAAGAGGGTCACCAGAACATGGTTGGACGAAAATTGAGCGTCTCTCGAGGATACCGTTTTCTCAAAAAATGAATAAATCGCGTCTTATCTGGATTGTTTGTGGTTCTCTTCACAAGAAAGAAACGTAGCCTATGAAAACCACTCATCTTGAACGCTTAAGACACGACACCCTCCACACATACACGCACACACGCCGTTTCTTCCCCACGGCCACATCTCAAAGAACCCGAACTCGGAAACAATCGCTCATTTCCTCTTGTTCTGTTTCAATTGTCGACGAAACAGTGAGTTGGAAAAGGCAGCACGGGACATGGCCAACGAAACGGTGAGCGCCAACGACGCCGCGGAAGGCGGTTTGGGAGGGGAGCTGGCAAAGCTGGAGCCCTTGGTGCACCTCGGGAAGATATTCTACAGGGGGGAGAAGTTTTTCTGGAGGTAGGTGCGAGTCGGTGGGTCACTGTGTGTCTGTGTCTTGTGAGCTGCGCGGCCCGCTCTTGGGCATGACTTTACGTCTGACTACGGAAAATCATGATACAGTATTCGGGGTTATGTGATAGGCACAGGCGACGTTTCTTTGAGTGAGGCGCCGCCGTTTCACACTTAGCGGCATGTCCTTACACTTGTTTCACCTCTGCATGATAACCCTTCGGTTGGTGACGCTTGCAGGACCAAGGACCTGATCGAGGTGGTGGTCCAGCTCAACGAGGCCAAGGGGTTCCTGGCCGTGAGCACGTTCCACACAGAAAAACTGAAGGCGTACCCCATAATCTTCATTGATCGTGCTAAGGTACAGTACACAGCCCTTCGGTCGAAAACACGGCACTCTTCAGCTGCAGCAAGAGCGGCCCATAAACAACCCACCCCAAGACTAATATTTGTTATGAAATCGGGATCATCCGCTGCCCCCACGCCGTGTGTGCGCGCGCGCCTTTTAGCTCGTTCAAGTTGTTCCTGTGAGTGCTAGCCTTGAAGTTTCGGGTGTGTGACGCACCAGCCGTTTTCACACAAGAGGGAAAAGAAATAAACACTGGGCGGTGCTTTTTCGCTGCGCATCCAACGATAAACTTCGAGTTAGCTCAGCAATAGCCTGTACTCAACAACGGCGACGAAACATCCTGTTGAGCACCGACCCCGAAAGGAATGGTCCTTACTCTAGTTAGTAGCAGGCCCCGATGTCGTATTTTTCGCATCAGCCGCGTACATGCGCCTGCAGAGCGTGCACGGCCGGGCGTCCACCATCCGTTGCCGTTAGACCGACGAAAAGGTTCAGGGTCGCTGGGGTTTCGTGCGTCGCTCCAGCCCGGGTGTGGTGAGGAATGGCTCAACTGGCGAGCCCCGGTCCTGAGGCGATCGACACACACGCACGAGCGAGGATTTTTGGTCACAAAGAAGATGTTTGATGAAACCTTCAACGGGGGTTACGGGTAGCGGCACCAAACAGAACTAAACCACCCGTGAGAGATGGATCGAAATGATTATTGTCATACATAAACGCGAACTAAGCTTGGGAGGGTCTGCGCATTTCCTCGTTTCGTCACCGCCGCTGTTTCCTCCCTTAGATCCCCGCAAGCGCTGCGGCCGAGGCCGAAATCTTGAACGACCTCAAGGCCAAGCGGTTGGCGGCCAAAACCGAGCACGCCATGGGAGGGTCAGGATCAAGAGGAGGCGAAAGCGACGCCAACAAGGTGCTGCAGGACATGATGGCGTCGACTTTGAGTATTTTGTTTTCCCCTCGTACTAGAATTGAGTACTGTAAGGTTAGGGTCACAGGTTTGGGAACCCGAACCACATGGCCGTGTGTGGATGTTTTATCTTGAAGTCAGCCGCCAACAACCTGCAGTCTCGTCGCAATGCGCTAGGTTATATTCGTCCGTTGGCTCCTTGCCCGTTCCGTGAACTTGTTTCCTCGGGGCAATGCATATTGGCTGTTCCGTTTGGTGCTCTACATGCTAGCGTGAAAGTGCCCATTCTCTTGGATGCAGAACTCCATTCCGTGCGATGGTGCGTGTCGAGGACCATAAACAAAAAACATCTTGAGGTAGCGAATCCCATCCGATCCCATTCTTCGAGAATTTAGTAGTGACCGTTGCGACACGTTCATTCACCGAGCACGCTTTCGTAACTTGGATCAACACAGGAGCAGGCGGGGGACCAACAGCAAGAGGACCAGGCGCTGTCGGAGAAGGCGCACATGGCGTACATAGCCGACTACATCGTGCACCGCATCACGATGCCGGACGGTAACGGGAACCTCCTACAGCCTGACGTCACTCGCCCGGAGGAAGAGGTGGGCGCCCCAAGAGCGATGTATTTCTTCCCCACGGTGAAGATAGATGGATGAAAAGCGTAATAATGTCGATGCCTCCGCTGGTCTAAACGCCTTGTTTGTGTGCTTGAAGGACGACAATAGTATCGCTTGCCTGGAAATTCTCTAAGGGTTTACTCTCTCTCGTTCATAACGTCGTCGTGCGTTCGGCCTGAGCCTTGTTTGCGGTCAGTCGACCTATTGGGCATCCGGACTCACGTTTGCTCCACCCCAGACCCACGGCGTAACTGTTTCTTTATGTGTGTCACGAGCTATGCATTGATGCCCCTCCCACGTCCTCCAAGGTAAATCCCGGTTTGCCGGCCGGCGGGGAAGGCAGCAGCACCGGTTCGGGCGCCACGAAGACGAAACGGGGGAGTGCTGCGGCGAGGCCGGGGCTGATGAGAACCACGTTCGACGAGTGGGACACCCTCTTGGTGAGACTAAACTCTTTGCACGCGTGAAAGACCTCCTGACGACGACACCAACAGGAGCAGCAGCAACTACTACTACTACTACTACTACTACTACTACCACCACTACTACGTTGTTTTGTCTTACAATGTTCCCTCAAGCTGGAATGGTTTACGTGACATGATTCTCCCGGTATCGTACAGAGGGGTTGGCGCTGCTCCTTCGGGCCTACACGTATGACGTCTACCTCTCCATAGCAAAAACGAAATCCCCGGCGGATCAAGAACTTAACATCGCGTGACTTCGATTCACGTGATGTGGCCTCTTTGACCACACTCGGCGCCCACCTCTGAAGGTTTTGGCGCTAGGTAGAGATAGATCTTCCTCTATCGCGCTGAGCGACAGCCGTAGTGCGTGCGACGTGTAGCCGTCTCTGTTATCATGTACCTTTCGGGTGCGGACACACACAATCCTTTCCAGGCAGATACGCACGACGTTCTTCACGTGGGATAATATCTACCGTTCGCCGGCCTTCGGTCATGCCGGCCTAGGCAATGAATGAATGCACTTCTCGAGTGCAGTACAACCGGGCAATACAATACCTTACGGGGAAAGAGGTGCCTCTTAGAGGAGATGAAGATTTTTTTTTTAACAAGTGACGGCCATGGTGGCAAGAAAATGGTCAACATGTATAGACTACATCGGTCAAGACACGAACCTCCACCCCGGACGTCGAGCGAAATGCGAAAACGGCCGAACGCCGAGAATCTCACCGGCCCGACCCCCTCCGGTCTCCTACAGTTCCCGAACCCGCCTTCTCGGGTGGAAGGCGTCCCGAAGTTCGCCGAGACCAAGAAGAGGGAGTCGTACTTCCAGGAGTTCTGCAGCGTGACGGAGAAGTTCGAGGAGAACCGTGTCAGGGCACAGCGGCTTAGCGGGGAGGCGGCTGCCTTCGCCATGCAGGTTGGGATATGACGATGTAGGAGGGATGCGTGAGAGCTCGAAACAGAGCGGGGGGGGGAGTACTGTTGTGTCGCATGCCGTGGTTGTTTGGCCATTGACTACGCGTCCTCGAGGGGACGGAGAATTTCGCAGTGGGTCGATCACCGATTGCCTATCGTTCCAACCTACGTTGCCAAAGGTGCCTCAAGGGTGTTTCCCTTCGTGGGGGGGGTCACGTGGTTTGTTACAAATCGCGATATTTCGCGACGCGGAATGGGATATGCGGATGGACATGGGATGGAATGATTCCCCCTTTTGGCGTGATTACTTTTTGTTGCTGGGGATATTTACGACTGACTGTGGGGTGAATCCTGGAACCTAAATAGCATCTTCCGGAGATGTCGGTGGTTACCGTACGGGCGGTGGCCAATCCATTGCAGGCCCTACGGCAAATGTTTTTGTATCGCATCTGGCTACGTTAGGAGGTGCTGGTTTCCATACAACACAAAATGTAGATAGCGTGTGCGATGAAAAGTTACGATTTCTCGAAGAAGAGTCGTTATCCACCTCATGACCTCTATGCACCACATGAACCGCGAAGCAGGTGTCCAACACGCTGGCGCCTCTTGGTCACTCCGCATCTTCGCCAGCTACCTTGGCCCTCGCCGAGAGCCAGCAAGACGTGGCCGGCGGCGACGCTGCCACCCCCAGGCGCGGAAGCGGCCGGATCATTCTCGCGGACGAGATCTCCAACCGGCGGGGGAGGTGTGCACGCGGCCAGAGCATCAATATGTTCACAACACCAATTTTTTTAAGATTTTGTGTGCATGTGTGGTTATATTGCGGTGTGTTGTCGCCCACACCAACTTCTCCATGACTACACGTGACTCCATAGTGTAACATTTCCGCTACCCGGTTATACGTAAACATCTGGACTATTATGTACCCCTGCCTCTAACAGCGTTCCTCTACTGTTTCATCGACCTCGCTGCCCCCCCCCCCCCCCCCCGGTCTGTTTCCCAAAACCTGGGAAGTGTTTTCCTTGCGTGGGACCAAAAACCCCCTGTTGGAAACCCAAAATGGGCCCGCTCTACATCGGCCATCCCAAGAAATGGGAATGGGGGGGCCCCCCGCATCCTAATCTGGTATAAAGGGGCCGGGGCACACCCCCTGTATCACCACCCAAACCCCTCCCCGGGTGGTTTTCCCCCCCCCCACCTTTGGTGTCAAAAAAGAACTCCTTGGAAAAAACTCCCTCGCCACCGGTTCAATGAGCGGTTTCACTTCGAAGGGTTCATCAAGTAGATAGATCGGCAGTGTCGAGGTCATGCAACGGGGTATAAACGTTGCTTGTGTTCGTGTGTTTGTGGAGGGGTTATCGATGCTGAGGCTGAGGCTGATTCTTATGCTGGTGCCTATGCTGATGCTGATGCCTCCGGATGTGTTGTGATCGCTGTGGTGCTTATCCCTGTGCAGTAGTCGAATGGCGTGCTGTGCTGTCAATACACGCGAGATGCCCACCCAACACAGAGTACGGCCTACCCAAAATAGATGGTCGTGATATGGGCATGCTGTCTCGAGCAAGGCTGAAGAGCTGTCAACCCGACTGGTCGTTACAAAGTCGATACTTTGGCTGAAATACAGGGGGCACCGGGATGACACCGCGGGGGGGCACAGGGGGGGGAGGGGGCACGGGGGCCGACGCCAAAGGGGGGTAAACGCCGCTGGCGAGACAGCACCAATTTCCTCCGAACACCTAGATAGATACAAGTGTTCCATAGGCAAGAGAGACCTGCCTGAAAAAAACGTGGTGAGGTAAAGGGAGACAGCGGACGGGGAATGATTTCATGGGTCCTCCACGTCGTCGATGGGTAGCAGCGTGGCTTGGTACGCCTTCGAACCGCTAGTGCCACGGAGGTGGACGGAAGTAGGGTGGTCGGGGGCGAGGAGCAGACTTCTGGCACGCCGACCGCGCTGAAGTATGTAGACGCTGCGATCGGCATGATTACCAAGACAAGGAAGTTGCCAGAAGACTTTACTCGGAACGGGTAGAATGCGCCCGTCGCGTTGGGCGCCCTTTGAGGTTTCCTCAACCACCTAAATTGGAGAAGTATTTTTGTCCCCTCTCAGACTCATGTCCCTTCGTTTTGACGGGGAAATTATATTTTTCGTCCCACTTCTTGTTGTGACCTGGGCCATACCCGCCGGAGTTCGACCCGGAATGCTTTGGGCGTACGAAGTCGTTCGAAAGGAAGCCTTTGCCTTAATAAACGCGTTTTGGATTCACCACGTCCTTCAGCGGATAATCCGCGACGAGCTCGACCGACGTGCAAGAGATGATGGCTCAGACAACACCTTTTCTGTCGCCGGTGATAAATTGACCTGACGACACGGAAAAGCGCGTAGAAGGGATAGACATTGGTAGAGTAGTCAAGGAGACATGGACTACGAACCGTGACGCATCATGCCGCTGACGCACCACATGGAAAAAACACACGCTACCGAGAATCTCATAAGAGGACCGACACAATTGCTTGAGGCAAGCTGCGTTGCGAATGTACATAGAAGAGTCAAGAAGACAGGGACCCTGACCCAGCAGCACTTCCTGCCCATTCTCCACCGGCGTCAATCTCCGAGATGTCGTCCAAATCGAAGTCCAACAGGTCAGGAAACTCGTCCCCCTCGAGACCGAGTCTTGCCGCATCCGTGACGAGAGACGGGGAAGCGGGCACGGTAACGTCAAGCTTATTCGCCTTTGTCAGCTGGGTCCCACCGCTCCCTGGGAGCCTTGCGGTGTCAGCCCTCGCCACGGTCACCCCGCCGCTCAAAGGCGCCGGCCGCTCACTGGTGTACCCACCCGTCGTTTGTTTCTCAGGAAACGTTCCGCTTCTTCTTCTCTCGTTCTCGCGAAGTGTGGCCTCCGCGTCTAGCGCCACGACGGAGGTCTCGCCACTGCCATCGGCCCGGGCAGACAAGGCGGTAGCGCTATCGTTAGCTTCCAGTCGACGGTCCCGTTGCTGCGGCGAGGGTGGTGACGTGCTGTGTCCCTCTCGTCCCTCTCCAGCCGAAGTCGGTCGAGTCTTTTTCGGCTTGACCGCAACCGTCACCACTCTCGGCGAGCGGTCGACCCCACTCAGGCCCTCCCCGGACACACGCCTGTCACCATGGAACTCCTCGCCCGATCTCGAACTTCCGCCCCGGCGCATTGGAGAACCGGAGCTTGTCCCCCTCCATCCATCGAAGGCGAGACTGCCACTGTCGTCGCTCGCAACGCCCCCAGCGTTCGAGCCCACAGCAGAATCACCGCCTTGAGACCGGCTAGCCCGGGGCCCCGTTGCTGGTCCGGCCGTAGATGACCCGGCGTAGACTTCGGCATTCATGCCTGAGCTACCTCTCTTTCCGCCCGCTCCTGCTACCGCAATCGGCCGGTTGCCCGTGCGAAGATCTGTTCCAGCTAAGCTAAGGGTGCTGCCGCCATCGCCGCCGCTTCCTGGGCGTGCCCCCGCCGCACCGCTCGATCCACGATCTCGGGGTGCCGTCGGCTCGACCCCGAAGCCCTCCGTACCGCGAGACAAGGACGAGCCTGCCGCCCATGAGTCCTGCCGTTCAGCGTCCAGTCGAGTGCCGCCGTGAGTTAAATCACCACGACCGCCGCCCCCGCGGGCAGTAGTAGCACCAAGGGACTCTACGCGTTCACCGATGCCATCCCTCACGTCCGGAGACCGACCCCCTTCTACCAAAAGCGCCTCCCGAATGTCGCTCGGCGCCGCCACACGACCCTCATCCTGCTCCCGGCCGTTATCCAGGGAGAAGCCGCTGTCCCGGTATTTGAATGACTCGGCAGGTGCAGGCATGGGGGTGATGCTAGGTCGAGGCCCCCTGCCGGTTCTTGGAGCGCCCCCCCGTGCTTCTGACCAATCGCTGCTGCCGTTCCCATGAGAGAAAGCTGACCCGGCTGGAGAAGCCCCTCGTTCTGTCCCGTTGCTTGGCTGTCCCGAAGGTGCGGCAGGTCGGAGCAGCGGTGACCCCATGGGCGGGGAGAGGAAAGAAGGGGGTTTTGAACACCTTCACCGCATGAATTGACTCATCATGTGATAACCTTTCCAAGGCATGGCAAGTACCGGTTATCTTGTGGGCACCGCAAGTGACATCCGCTCAAACCAAGAAAGTTGACGAAGCGCATGTTCAAGACTTCTTTGCCGACCATGGTTCAGGGCTAGCCCTCAAGCGAGCCTACGCGGTAGATTGAATCGTCTACGTCAGCAGTCTGAATTATCGCACTCGAGAGATATGCTATGCTATGGCGGCGGATGCAAGCAGTCGACCTCAATTGGCGTCGGCAAATTGTGGTTTCTACATCCGCCCCCACGGGCGTCCTTGATTGAAAATCCTCGCGCTAACGCCAACATCTCTAGCAATGGCCGAATTCGTCCAACGATGACAGATAAATAACCCACCTTTGCAGGATCAGATCATGAGCCTACGATAAGAGGGCTACCTCACTTGCTATCGACAGCACCAAAGCAGGTATACAGAGAAAATTGTCACCTGAACATCCACTCACCGTTTCATCGTCTCCCGTTGTTTTGTCGACCCTTCGCTCTCGGTACTTACGGCGACGGTTTCGTCTCTCTGAACGCCTCCCACGGTGATCCCGACGTCGAGCAGCATCGTCCAACCTGCGAACCTTTAGCCTTCCCTTGTCGTCCAAGAACACCTTCGAAGCCAGGCCTGGATTGTGAATTCTTAGCATCGCCGCGTAGCCGTTGATGATCTTGTCCTGACGCGGCCGGGCGGAGAGGGGGTTCAGCAACATCAGCGTTGTTCATACCGTTGAGAGCCAGGCATGTAAGTATGTCGGCTTCGTCTCGGTTGGTCTTCCATTACTCAAAACCGGCCGTTTTCAATCGCTACTACAGTAGGGGGTGCACGTCCGGGACTTTCGCCAAGCGAGCGATGAGTTGTGTTCCTCGGCTAGAAAAGAGACTAGAAGGCCTAAGCGGTCCGACATTCCCTGTTCGACAGGCCGGGGCGCGATTGTATTCACGTCACAATAAGTTTCCCGGCAGACCTCTTCCCCCGCTCCCAGCCGCACTAAACGGGGACTTCGACACGAACAAAACGGCAAGAACTACTTTTCTCGGCGAAAGCTCAAGCCTTTCTTCTTTTTTTCTGTTTGACCTGCTTTCGGTTTTCCTTTCGAAGGAGGCGCGCACTGTTCTTCATTGCCTTGGTTCCCTGCAAGTTCCCCTCCGTCTCCAACTCCATGCCAGCCACTGCCGTTTGCAGGCTGACGAACTGCCGTTGCAAGACCTACAGTACGAAAAACGACGGAAGCCGGGCGCAACAGGAGAGAGCTAGCTTGGCGTTCAGGTTGGAAGTGGCACAACAGGTCTCCGCGGTGCCTTTGGTACCACTTCCAGCTCATACCGCCTTGGAAATGGCTCATGACTTCGTAGGTGATGGGCCATTGTCAGAACGTAACATGCGGTGCAACCTCGACTGCATCCCGTCAAGACCTTGGACGGAAAGTTGTTGTTGTTGTTGTCTTCACATTAAAAACCCGTTCCGGTCTCCACCCAGTACCTTCTAATGTCCGTACTATACTATAACAGTACAACTGATGCGGACGCCTTTCGTGGTCACAAGCCAACTGCCCCAAAGGGGGTACAGTACACCTTTCTAAAAAGTAAAGAAAAGAAAAAGTGGACACCAGAAAACTCCTCCAAGGCGCGATTTGTTATTCAACCAAAGAAAGATCAGCAGTAAGGAAAACCATGAATCGGGATAAAGAGACGATCGACGACCCCGGTCGAAGGGATGCAATAGCGATAGGCACAGAAAGAAAGAAAAGAAAGAGACAAAAACGAAAGATAAACAGAGAGAGAGAAAGACAACAAAAGAGATAACGGCAGATAAACAGGTCCCCTCCAACGCTCCAGTCTACCCGAACAACACGAAGTATAGGCCACTACTAACGCGACACCAGACAGATACATACATACCGACTTCCGACGACACAACATCACTTCGGGGGCACTGCGAGAGGGGGGTTAGCGACACGACGGAAAAAAATATGGGGATACATCCAGCTGGTATTCCTGCTATCGTCTCCATCCTCATCATCATCCCGGGACACATCTCTCTATCCGTTCAGCCATCTCCGTCCTGCTCTCTTCGGCTTCAGTCGTGTCTTCCGTCTTTCGACGTTTCCCCCCCCGTATTCCCTTCCCCCCCTGCTCTGCTGTCCTGTGTGTAAAGTGCAGATGACAACTCTACCAAGAGATTTATGTGCCTCTCTCCACACCACACAACACCGCAACCTTAACCTTCCTAGTACATGGGTCCGTGACAAGTCCTGTGTATTTGTACCGTATACTTATACTCCGCAAGAAAACACCACCGGTGATATTTGGGCTTCTAAATCAAGATATCACCCAGTGTGCCATGTGTCCTACGTGGGTGTATCATTTGGATGTGCAGTGTTCAGTAGGTGAAGAGAGCGCGTTCAGGTACATGGTACGACCGAATCCCCTACTCCATTCCACCAACAGTCAATACCACCCACCAAGCTTGCGGAAATCGGGAAAGCACGAAGGGGCGATTTTACCTGCTGGCAGTGGAGCACGTACTGCGCTTGTAGCTGCGCCAGTCGAAACGCGTTCAAGAGGCCGGGATTGGTGTCGAAGTTGTCATCGTCGTCTACCTTTCCGACGGCCACGTCCGGAAGAAACTGTCTGAGTGTCTGTAGGTCTCCCTCTCTTTCAATCTTGGACACGTTGACTGTTGCGACTCGGTGCCAATCCACGCTGCCGGTGGTTGGCTCGAACCTGCGAGAGGGCAGGGAAGTCAATCATGACCGGGAGGTGTCCATCTTACCAGCAGCGTGAAGGACATGACACAAGCCGAATATTCTGAGATTTTCTAGAACCCTGAGCAGCACACCGCCACGGGCGAGCTGCTGTTGTAGACACAAGTTTTCACCCGTAAATCTGCCTCAACCACCCACATGTACAGATGCTGGACAGGATAATCATGCTGCCTACCGCTTGTCAATCCTGCACGCCCTCGTTGAGGTTGATTGCTTATCACGCGCTCGCTCGCGACAGCAACAATCACCGCCTCTATAATAGCAATCCGTACCGATCGATCTCGTGGCAACCACTCCCTGTCGGACTACAGTAACTCACTTGAAACCTGCCGTCGGAAAGCGAGGCGGGACTCGCTTCTCCAGCTTGTTCTCGGGGGGCGACGCAGAGCGCATCGCGACAACTGTTGGGTTTCCTGTACCCCATGTGTCCGCCGGGATTGCCTCGGAAACCTGTGGTACGACGAGTCGATATTGGATGGATATTCACGCACGACCGGTTGAACTGTGTAACAGGTGCCTCGGGGGATGTTATCATGACTCATATCGGTAGTCGTGTTGAAGTAGCCAATCAGAGTAGCGCTTTCACACATTCGTGGCACGGGCCGCTGTAACGGTAAATGTCATCACTGCCGGGGCAACCTGTAGAGAACCACCCCACCTGCTGTCGTTTATGAACATTTCCATCGCCCCGCTCTTTTGGATCTTTGAAGGCCAAGTCTGTCGCTGCTGCTGCAGACACGTTGGACGGACGACGTTGCCGTCTTGTATAGGAGAACCTAGAGGCAGCCAGAACCCTGGTGGCCTCATCCAATAGTGCAATCGCTTGGTTTTCCCACTCTTGATGGTTCGGCTTGGGATAAGGCGGAGAGCACGGGGCAACGGCAAGAGTTTCGTCACCAACGGCAAGATACAGCAGATGGGCAAGATGCATTGAAACATGGGATACACACTGATACCCTTAGTAGACACAATCGCACTGGACAACTTTGCAGAAGATACGCAATGTGGTGTGCTCACGTCTCCGGAATGTTCTCCGAGCGTCGGGTGTTCGGCTTCTTGGTCGATGGCATCTTCCGAGATCTTCTCTTGAGACTCTACCGCCGCAGGACCAGGCTCGGACAGCTGCTGTGGAAGAATAATGTTCAGATTCGGGTCAACATCATCACGGGGGGGTTCGCCCGCAGACGACCAATAAGCTCGGAAGGCCCCTACCAACGTCCCTGTTCGCACGCCCTCTGCTCCTGTCAAGCACACCCGGACCGGGAGATGAGATGTGCTCGACTGCTCCGTCATCACCGGCATCGTGGGAAGCGGTATGGAAGCCTTGCCGAGTGAGAAAGTCACCCCGTTGTCGTACCCTTGGATCTCCACATGAAGGGTCTCCTGTCCCGTCATCAACCGCCGCTCTTCACCCGCTTCTCCTGGCAAGACGAGTTGGGTTAGGTCTACCGCAGCCGGTAGGCTGACCATGGTGAGGCTCTTTTGTACCGACATGTTGGCGAAAGTCTTGACGCTGCTGACCGACTCCCACGGCAATGCTTCTGGCCGCATGTGCGGAGCCTCGAGCTCGAGCTCGAGGGAGTTCGGCATCCTGACGAAAGACGGCACGTTTATTGGTCGATGTAGTGCTGTAGGCCTTCAACCACGGTAGCCCTTTCGCTGGGGGCAAAAGGAATGCTCCGCAACGATATACCGTCTGATCCTGCTGCAGCAGTTGGGTGTCACGGCCCGGTATCGTCAGGATCTGTTCAACAATGTTCTCAAGATCATTTGCACCCTCGGGCACTCGAGTGCTGTAGGGGATACTCTGCTGACGTACGCAGATTGCTGCTGTTGTTGTGGACTATGGTGAAGTCCTCGTATCGCGCAGCGCACAGCTCTCGCCTTGGGTCTCCTTGGGTCACCGAAATCAACGCCGTCACACCGATATCAAACCGCTTTTGCCGTGATATGCACGGGTGAAAAATCATTCGTTGTGTGCACTCTTCCGTCTATTTCGCCAGTCGTGCGATCAGGATATCCCGATCCTGCTAGGGTGGCAGCTGTTCGGCATCCAGTCGCCCAAGAGCCCACTGCTGTGCTGTTTCGTGGTACAACCCGAAGCGCGATATCTTCGATGTCGGTTGTTCTTCCCGAGCTATCAGTCAGACTGACTTACTTGTTGTGCCAATAGTCGGCCCACGGCCCACAAATGTGTCCAAGCAAATACTTCGAAGTCCACGACCATCTAAAAGTCCAAAAGATATGTGTACCCAAAGCCGGAATGTCTGTCATGGGAGGACGAAAAATAGTGCAGGGTTGGCCGCGCTTTAGTCACGAAACAATTTCAGGACCGAAGAGCACAACCGGGGTACTTGTACTCCTCACAGAAAGGGCGAGAGGTTGCAATGTGTACGCCATATCGTATTGACAGGTGATCAAGAGACACTGAATGCCAGTCGTCAGAACAGAGTTTTTGGGGACGCCGTCCTCCGACGAGACGCGACGCTGCAAACACTGCAACACACGACAAACAGATTTCGGCGGGTAAGAGGAAGATGTTTGCTGTATTTCGTGAGGCGTTACAAAAACGCCTCGCGAACCGCTCGGTTTTTCAGGGTTCCCGGCCGCACAAGGCGGCCAACAAGCAGGCAACGAGGGCGCACTACAGCAGTGTAGCGAACACGTGACAGAGACAACCATGAGAGTGATGGTAGGCGTGAAGCGTGTGGTCGATTACGCGGTCAAAGTCCGGATCCAACCCGACAAAGCAGGTACGCTGTAACTCCGTCTTGTTTGGACACGCCGGGTTCGGAACGTTGCACACTTGAACAAACCAGCACAGTAGTCGGAAGTTTCGCCGCATCATCTCGGCACTGAGCTGAGCAGAGCTAAGCTGCTACCAGCTGGGGTTGGTGTTCGGTGCCTCATAGTCTGAATGGTGGAGGGAAAACATCCGTATCCGATGAAGCGTTTGTTGCATGGCTCCGTGCAGGGGTTGAGCTGAAGAATGTGAAGATGTCCATGAACCCGTTCTGCGAAAACGCGATGGAGGAAGCCGTCAAGTTGAAGGTGCGGAGTACAACGGCAATGAAAGAGAAAAGCACACCTCAACCGACAAATATGGTCGGTACGTAAGCGGGAGTATGTTGCGGTAAACGATAGCAGTACTGTAGCGTGTGCATTCGTTCAGGGTGTGTTTGTGGAAGCGGGCGAAGGTTGTGCATGTTTCAAAGAAAGAATCCGCCAATTCACCGCGGTATCTGAAAGTAATTGATCATGGCTTCTCGGTGGGACTGAGACCAGCAGTTTGTTGTACAGCAGTAGGGAGATGCAGGTTTGCAACACACATGAATTCTCCCCCATGCGCCTACCACCGTTGCTGTACGGAAGGTTGGGAGGTTTCACCCTTCTGATAATCGAATCAAGCGTGCCTGCTGGCGTGCCTGCTGGCGTGCAGAAGATTGATTCACGGGGCATCTTCCCATCATGCCGACCGTCATGCCGCCGGTTTCGGGGTTGAGTTGCGTCTGCTGCTGCCAGTCACACCGGGTGTGCCTTTCTCTTTCCACGAGCTACTGCGATCTATCCATGAGCTACTGAGATCCGGGGCCATGCACAAGGACTCCTCTGCGATTTGTTGGTCAGAAGGATTCAGCTATGTATTGCTCCTCATTCACCTTTCAATCCTCTGGTGGACTACTGTATTGCGACAAAGAGCACCTTGCTTTGAACCGTCCCCAAACCTCAAAAATGAACACTCCAAACCAAACATACCAAAAACTATTTACTCCCCAAACCTGAAAAATAGGGCATACATACCACGACCAATATTCCGTTTTATCCTGTTTTACTATTTTAGGAGACGAAGGCAGCAAGCGAAGTCATCGCCGTGTCCATCGGGCCCAAGGCAGCCAAGGACACTCTGAGAACAGCCCTCGCCATGGGTGCGGACCGAGGGGTTCACGTCATGACGGACGACGCCGTCAGAACCGACCAGGGCTTGGAGCCGTTGGCGGTTGCGGGCTTGCTCAAGAAGGTAAATAAGCTTATTTCCGCCGCTACACGGCGTTGTTCTCGTCCATGGCGCCAGGGTCTTTTGGTGCTCTTTGGGTGGGGGGCTCGTTGGTTTGGGGTAGAGGAGTGGGGCCTACATTGATGGAGCTTTTCGCCTCGATATCTCAGGTGTCCTTGGATGTGTAAGCACTGCCTTCGAAGAGGTGTACGGGCTGGTACGGAGTAGGTGTTTGTCATGGTGAGCTCATCAACCCACACGTACACTCCCAGGTATGAAAATCACTCAAGATAGCTGCTTTTGTACTGTAGGCAGGAAGATTGTGGTTGCCCTTGTGTGACTGCTTGGCGCCGTGGCTATTGGTAGCCAGGGCGAGGTCTTCTTCTCTGCCCACGCAAGCCGGAAAGGGGAAGCCGTTTGCACCACAAATCCTTGCCCTGATCTAGCGACCGTCTTCTACCTACAGAGTCACCAACGAATGGCACGCATGGATGTTGACGTGTTTTGTGCGACAGGTGGTAGAAGAGCAGAAGGTGGACCTGGTGCTTCTTGGAAAGCAGTCCATCGATGGTGACTGCTCGCAGACCGGACCGATGTTGGCGGGGATGCTTGGTTGGCCCCAGGCGACCTTCGCCGCTAAGGTATCTCGGTCGTGCGCCACCTCTGAATTTTCACCACCGTGTTCCAGCTTGAACCATTGAACATGTGTTTTTGTGTGGGGACAAGCGTGTTCAAGGTACCGTGACGACTCGCTGTGCTGCTGCACTTGCTGGGTTTCTTGTGGAACGAGCCTGCTCAAGGCACAGCGGTCACTCACTGCTGTGTACTGCTGCACTTGCTGTGCTTTTTGCGGGGCAAGCCTGTTCAAGGCACCGTCACTGACTGCGCTGACGTTAACCTTGTGACCTTTTCTTCTGTGGCAGGTTACTGTGGTGGAAGCGGGAAAGCAGCTGGAAGTGGAGAGAGAAACGGACACGGGCACACAGGTGCTGTCGGTCCCTCTTCCCGCCGTCGTTACCGCAGACCTCCGCCTCAACGAGCCTCGGTACGCGACCCTCCCCAACATCATGAAGGTACGCGAAGCCGTGATGCCAGTGTTGTGTTTGATGCAAGGAAGCCAAGGCGGCTGCTGCTGATGCTGCTGCTGCTGCTGTGTGCGTGCCCTGGCTACATACCCTAACCGGGCGCCAGGGTGACGTCGTAGTTCCCGCCCGTTAGTTTGGTGTGTGCTACACGCTAGACTCTTTTGATTTTGCTTGGAGTCGGTGTGCCCCAGGACCGACGTACACGCTGCTCGTTGGTTGAAGGTTGGACCGATCACTGCTCCCAGGACTAAGACCAACCTGTATCAACATGAACATCAACGTCAACATCATCATTATCAACCAATCGCGTGATGACTTGCTAAACGGTTTGCCACGCCCACGGAGACCCCGCCCAGCAGCACAATCAATCTAGTCGTTGGTCATTTAGGGCCGCCTTCGCGCGATTAGTAAGTTTGTGAGAAAACTGAACAGGGAGGGTGGACGCCGACTCTATTCCCCAACCCTAACCCAACCCTAGCCCAACTTCCCCGAGTGCATTCTTTATCCAACATGTTTACAAAATGCGAAATCCCTACGAAGGCTAGTGGTTATGTACCAGCTGTTAGGCCTGACACATGTTCCGTTGTCCAATCAGTGAGTAGGCTACTGTAGCCCGTGTTGGTTCCCGCTGGTGGTATTTGCCGGATGCGCACACACGCTCTCTGTTTATTGTTCCTGTTGACAAGCTGACACACGTTGCGCGTGGACATCTGCCAGGCAAAGAAGAAGACCGTAGATGTGCTGACCGCGGCGGACATGGGCGTGGATCTCAAGCCACGAACCACCGTCATCGAGGTGAGGCTACTGTGTACGTACGAAAGGGTGCGTTTGTCTGTCTTACCGCATCCAACAATTCTTCTCGCTCGTCGTCCGTGAGCGACCGGATCTCTCGGCGAACGTACTTGACCATCACCATCTCGTCCAGCCGCCGAACAACCTTCCCGTCGGCAACGTTGACCTCTTCCAAAGTGATCATGTTCTCTTCAAGGCTCGTAAGCACAACCTCCGTTCATATCTGTACATGTTGCTGTTCGATTGCTGTATCCCATGGTTAGGTTTGTTTGTGTTTGTATCGCTGTTTTTGGCTTCGCATGTCTCATGGTGCAGATGTGCATTCCGTGGCACAGAATGGAATCATTTGTCGTATCGTTGCACTGGTCCATTGTAACATCTTGGAACGTAGTTCGTGGCGGGAACACATGGGGTCGATTTTGGAGGCACATGTCTTGAACCTGCTATTATAGCAGCATCTTCGATCAAATGGATTTGTCCCCTTGACGTTAAGTTTTAGAAATACCGTGTGACTCCTGTCGTGGCTCCTTCTTGATCACCCACTCATGTTTTCCCTCAACCTTTGGCAGGTGGTACCACCCCCTGTTCGCCAAGGTGGCGTGATTGTAGAGAGCGTCGATGAGCTCATCGACAAGCTCAAGACCGAGGCGGGAGTGCTCCAGTAATCCAACAATATAGTACTACCAGCCACGCCACGCACGCCTAGGTGGAACCTTACTTGGTTGCACGGAACAACAATAATGTATTTCGTTAATTGATTGGTTTTAGTTCCATTGTGTTTGGCGAACCCGAATTTTTGATACTGTAGCGTGGCCAACTGGGGACGTCCTTTTCGCGGTACGGCAGTACGTTACCATGGGAATACCGCGTACATACGCTGCACGACTTGCTGTGTTGCTTCTTCAGTAGTACTCGCATTCCCAGCACCCTCCTCCAAGCAGCAGCAGCATTGTCCTACCGTACGATGGATGGATGGATGCCTTGCGTGTTCCTGTTAACCGCGGTACTTTATCAGACAACAATCAATCCCGAGTGACGGATGAAAAAATCCTTGGTCCGACGATAAGAGTCTAGGAATTACGATGGAGAGTGATGGGTAGGGGTGGGGTTGGCCGGGGTGCGAAGGGGGGGAGCAAGGAGGCATTCGGCACACCGCGAGCCCACCGTCTTTAGTTTTGGGCAGGACCTAGAACAAGTCGGTCATATTTGGTAACAACTTCAAGTTGGGAAGGCAATTTCCTGTAGTTTTGAAACCGTGGTGGTTCATGTTCGGAATGGAATGGTTCCGTATGGTTTCGGGGCAACTAGCGGCATGCATGTGGTCTTGGACCGCCCGTTTTGACTGCACCGGTCATTTGACTTGCGCTTCACAGCAGGCGACCAGCGTGGTCCCTGTAAATAGTCCGAAGGCCTCCACATAGTATGGTCGGTCGCCTGTGAAAGGCCGGTAAATCGCGCGACACAGATCGTGGAAAAAGAAAGCTGTTACATGTACTCCCGAATAATCGGCGCTATGCGACCATATGCGGGGGCCATAGTGTAGTGTAGACGGCGAAATGACAAGTGTTGCCACCTGCGAATACGGTAGGAATTTTCTGTCACGCTTAGCCACTGAAGAACCAGACATTTCGTGCACAACAGCCTTCCCTGCTCGCATATGTACATCCGTGCAAGTATGGAAATGACTCGTGCCGAAAAGCATTTCTGAGTCATCTGCTGGTCCTATCGCGGGGACACACCCCAACATGGGGGCCGTTTGTTGCCTTCTGGGCATGAAAAAACTGAAAACGCAATGTTCACTTTCATATTAATTTCCGTGCAATCCGGTGGGAGCCCTCGACGGCCTACCACAACTCATTCCCGCCTTCCTAATTTCCGTCCATCGCCTATCATCGGCAGCCCAGCTCGTTTCTCCTCGACACGCTTGGTCGTCGAGCTCTAGAGCCACCTTTGAAAACTGAAAACACAGTGGCTGTATCATCTAGCCCTGGCGCAAAACCGGGGAACTAGAGAGTACAGCGACAAGCTTCGACAACCTCCGTATCCGAACATCTTGGTCGGATATTTTCTCCCTTGCCCTATTCCGTCCCCCACCGAAAGCCAAACAAACGCTTTTCCTTAGATCACGTGAACTATGCTATGCTATTCCAACCCTTTTCGTTTTTTGCTCTCCACTCCATCTCTGCCTCGTCACTGCTGTAGATTGACCTCCCCTCCGTACCCCCGCGTCCAAAATCCCCTCTGTCGCTCTCATCCAAAATCTCCACGCAGAACAACAAAAAAATCGCACACAATACACCACACACGCCACGAAGCCCACAACAATCTGCCCCGTGTCACGGAGCCGGCCCCCCCTTCGACCTCCACCCACTCACAGCACAAAAACTGGAAGTACCCCTCCTCAGCAGGCGGTGCGTCCAGCACACACGTACATCGACCCATCTCCGCTACTACACCCCCTAGGCCAGCCAAAAAAAAAAAAGATGGGAATCACTACCCAACCACCAAGATTTGATCGCAAGTTTCTTTACGGCCACAAGCCTCCTTTCGGCAGTCCTGTTGGAAACATTTCGTGGCCTTGAAACTAAACAAGAACGGCATGACGCCCCGCCCCGCCCATCACGAAACTTCGCGAGTGCTTCCAACCATACAGTATACTGAAAAAAAAAGAGTCACGTACACCCACTCCTCGAAATAGCTTTCGGCTTGTTCCTCATGCACCGCTTTGCCGCGTGCATTGGCAACTTAGCACCCACTGCCCTCTCTGTACCACTGTTACAATTAGGTACACGAAAATGGGCCGCACCCTACACAAAACAAGGGACACGGGTCCCTGCGAATGGGGTGGGGGGTACGGGGGTCGGGCACTTCATGCACCCTCGCCCGTATTAAAGCCTGTATGCTACATCACAATTATACAACCCTATGTACGAGGCCCTCATTCGGTAAACGCCAATTTCTTCGTCGCTCTGGTCTGTCTTCTGCCCATCCTTCTTTCCATCCCGTCCGACAATCGGACAACAAGAGCGCATTGCTTCGAATCCGGACAATATCCACAAATCTCCACCGCGCTCCCTCAACAGACAAGCAACGACCAGCAACCTTTGATACCAAACGGTTCACCACGGCAATGGTCTCCCATTTCCTGAAACGCCTCGCTTATGATACCCCAAAGGAACACACGACACTGGCTGTTCAAGCCGCCGCCCTGGGCGAAGAGCGTGATTTCATAGCCTTACCTTACCACCACGCACACACAAAAAAAAAGTCCATTCATTCTCGGAGGCCTGCCATCATGATAGACCCAACCTCCCCTCTCGCTGTCCACACCCAGACACGTGCCCACCGCGCACCACAACGGCAACTTATAGACATCGGTGTTATTGCACCTAGAATTACTTGGCACTTGTTGGAGTGGATAGCCCTTCAACATACACGATACAGCTATTATAGTGCTATGCATGACCAGACGCTTTTTGTTTCGTTTTTTAGGTCGACAAGGAGAGGATAAAGGTAGGGCTGCAACGAACACAAGACGCATCCATCCTCCCACTCTGTGCCCTACAAGCCCCCCCCCCCTCCTTTTTTAACCATCTGCGGGACAACCCCGGCAATACCTCTCGGCCACGTGCGATCATCAGAAGACCAACACCGCACCGCACAACTTTTATTTACAAGAAATTAGGAGAGGCCGCACCCACACACACACGAAAAAATATACAACAGCAAACAACCTCGCTTATATACACCATTGTCGCTAGCTGTGCTGACTACACCAAGAAAAATCGTCCGCAACACCCGTCATTCACAGCGGCTGTTTCTGTTTCCACCGCCCTTGCCCAACGACGCGTAAACCAACTCTTTCGTCACACTATGAACTAGGGCTACGCTTTCTTTCGTTTTTTTTATGTACAACGCTGCGCCACATCGGGCGGGCACAACACACCCCGGTCCGGCCAAGGCCGAGCAAGACTCTTCGCCATAACTCGACCGACATCGCGCGTAACCGCCCTACCCAGCCACTCGATGCGAATCCAATGGCTGCCGAAGAGAACGCAAGACATCCAACAAGGGAGTCAAGAACGGAAGTGCTGCCGCCGCCGCCTCCGACAAATTGTTTCGTCGTTCGATCCTCTCAACTCTCACTCTTCCCCCACTGGACACGGTTCTCGCCGCAAGGCAATTCTCAATCAGTCGATCCATCACTCCCTCCCTCAAAGACAATCCACGGGTTACCACATCAAGAGTTTTGACCAATCGTATCATCACGCCATGGCGAGGTCGAGGTCCAGCACGTCACCGTTCTTGAAGGCGTAGTGCCTCGGCACGGCCTTCCCGTTGACGAGGGTGATGCCCGTCTTGCCACCCGCGGCGCCACCGTCGATGAGGCGGATGCCTGCCGCGTGGGAGCGGCCCAGGACGTTCTCCGCAGTAGCGGACGCCTTGTCGAGCTCCCAGATGAGATTGTCGGGACCGAACACGAACACCTGCAATCCGTGCAAACGGACGGACGGGGCGGGGGTAAATGAAGCACACGACATGAATACCTAGACCGCAGCCACTGGCACAAGAGACTACACCCGCTAGCAAGACAGGCATGCGTCGCGTGGTGACACACACCAACAGGCGCACCCTCGAACCAAGCAGAGCACCCCGATTCGAGAACGGCGACACAAAACTCGCCCACACCACACACCTTGCGCTGTTGGAGCTCGAGGTGCAACCACGTCACCAGCTCCTTCCCGGAAGACACGCTGTCGGGGACGGCGGTGGCGGGACTGTCCATTCCCGTCCGCCGTGCCCCCGCCGCCTTCAGCCGATCGTAAGACCTCCACGATCTCCTCTCTCCTACTCCTCCGGCCTTAGCGCCACCGTCGTCGCTCTTGTAGCTCCAGTGGGCGGCGTGCCCGTACTCCGCCTTGTGGTGCATGGACGCGCTCCGCACCTGGAGTTCGAAGTGCGTGCGGCGTTCTCCGCCCGCCGAGGCCGCCGCCGCCGGAGACACGGACACCTCGTGGGTGCTGTGGAGGCTCTGGTAGCCGTTGGGCTTGGGGTGCATGACGTAGTCCTTGCAGCGGCCCTCTACGGACGGGTACATCTTCTTGGCCACCGACATCGCCTGGGATGGATACATAACACACCAGTTTTCAAGACGCGCACGATGGGAGGCAAGGGCAGAAGACAAGGTCGGCGTCGAGGCGATCAATTCAACCGACATCGCGTGCCACAAAGTGCGCGAGCGGGAGGGGGGGGGGAGGGCGACTTACCGACACTGGTCCAGCACCAACACATGGTAGTGCAGCTCAATAGGGCGACACGTTCACTTTCCAGGTGTTTAGCCCTGCCGACATATTCATGTCTACAGGAATCACGGCGGTACAAATCGATAAATGAGGTACTGTATGGACACCTACGTGGTAGCAGAGCTGCTTGGATCTCTCCTCGTGCTCCTCCTCTGTCTCCCCTGCCAGCCTCTTGGCCTTGAGCACCGCACGAAGGGCGACCGCATCATAGACGCCGTCCACGCCACCGCCTTGGCGCGTCATCTTCTTCCACATCGAGTACGGCTCCTTGATGCGGTGCTGAAGCACAACCTCCCCGGCAAGCTGCACACAAGAAAAGGCAAGCACCGGGCGGATGGACACGCGTTCGTCAACACCAAAAGAAACACACCACTAACGTCATAAAAAAGCAGGCAAAGCAAGAACACGCGCCCAGTCACAGACAAGCGCATGACGGCGGCACGTGACACACGACTCACATCCTCCCTGAGCGCTATATACAAAACACCAGCAGAGCAGGCTCGACAACATGAAAACCGAGAACAATAGCTCACCTCAGACATGAAGGCCTTGTCCTTCCGCAACGCCGCCGACACCGCGCTCTTCGCAGTCTCCATCACCTCCTGGTACACCGACATCCTCGCCTCGGTAGCGCGGCGGATCTCGTCGTACTCCGTCGGATACATCGCCTCGAAAGCGAGGTCCTCCAGCCCCCCGCTGAGGTGGTGGACACCCAAGCGGTGGGCCAGAGGGGCGTGGATCTCCAGCGCGTCGCGGGCCAACCGGGCGGCGTTGTTGGCCCTGCCGTCGATGGCCGAGCGCAGCTTCTGCATGTGCACCGCGAGGTAGAGGGTGAGGACCTGCCAGTCGCTGGCCTCCGAGATGATGAGCTCTCGCAAGTAGTGGCGCTGCTTCTTGCCGGTGTCGAGGTCGGCTTCATCGTCAACGTCTTCCGCGGCACGCCTGCTCATGCGCCGGCGCGCCATCTCTTCCAGCCGCATGACGTGGTCGAAGTTCTCCACCGACCTAGCCACGCGCGCACCGAATCCCTGCTCGCGGAGGACAGCAAAGAGGCACGGTGGTTTGGTGAGGGGAGAGGGTTGAAATGGATACGTCTTTTCTAGTGAGTCGCTCAATTCGATAAACATCAAGACCAGGTTGGTTACCAATCATCAACCTCTCGAGCGATGGTTGTCAGAAATGGGACAAAATAATGGGAAAACCTGCCTATATAATTAAATAAATGTACAATGTACACCCAGGAAGCGGCCACACGATGAAGCTTTGCGACGACTCAAAAACATCTATTCAACGTTGAGTTCTAGTACCTGAAAATATTTAGCGCCGACCATCGCATCGAGATTGAACGAAACACCTTGAAACAACGAGCGCATACATGGGCTGCCATCAGATCTAAAAAACCACACGCACCTCCTCGATGTCTGCCACCGTAACCGCGGCCCGGCCAAACTCCTTCGACTGCGCTCTGGGCCTCAGCACGCCCGACAGGATAGCCGCCAGAAGCGCATCCGTGCCCATCTGCAGCTCGCCCAGGATAAGACACGCCTCCACACCAGTCTGATGATTTCGGCGCGGGAGCAGCAGCGACGACGAGACAACGTTACCATTGGTATCACAAGGGTGCTCGAGCCAGTGAAGTTGTCACCATGAGCTATAATAGCTGTATTTGGTACTTTCGCACTTAAAAAGTATTTGGGGAAAAAACGTTGGTCTCTGGTGTGTGCAGGCCTGCCCATTTCTCTCGGTCGTCCAGGAGGTGCTAATTGTCCCGCTAATAGTCAACAGAACAGCAAGCACTATCATCGCGGCGGCACTATATTTGTCCTCTACCAATTTCAGAACGAAATTAGTAACATCATACCAAAGACCAACGCCCTCCAAACCTATATGCATACCCGCGCCGGTCCCTTGCCTGAGAGGCAGCGGGGGATTTCACCCGACATAAATGCCAGTTCCCTTTGAGTCATGGAGACCCAATTTCGAAGTCAGTAAGATGGGAAGAAGGCCAACTCGTAGCCCGGAGTACACTCTACAAAACGACACGGGCAATTTATTCCACTAAACAGACGCCATCGCACCAATCATAGATACTAATGGCGGTCACCTTGACAGCCTTGTATCCGCTTCCAGCCCGCTTTGAGTTCACGGAGTGTGCATAGATGGACATGGCTAGCGCCTGCTGCACCTCCTCCATCTCGTCGGCGTTGAGGTACGACAGCCCATCCGACAGCTTCTGTGAGAGGTCAGGGTCTGCTTTCGACCTTCGCACCTACGGGATAATAACAAGAGCAGTGGGTCCAAGTGACACAAGGAGAGGATGGGGGAGGGGTCGGACATTTCGTTGCTATGCTATGCATGTGCTCAACGCTTGATCAATTTATAGCAAAATTGTATCTGACGTCGTCCGCCGGAATAAAAATGGTTCAGTTCAGGTGAGAGCTTGCTTGTCCAAAGAAGCACAGCAGTTGTACGCTAAATTACTGCTGTAGTACCGGCACTGCCTTACCCTGGGATGCAACAGCCCCCACTTCTACTGCTTATGTAGTCAAGACGGAAGACAAAGAGGTCTCTGCCTCTGCGTGTCGAAACTGCATGGACAAGTACTATTTAGGTAAATAGTGCAAGATGAAGACAACGACCATACGCATGCCGTCCGACGAAAACAGCGACCAAATGTTATGCATGTAACGCCCAATACATACGCATTCATGTATGCTAGCAGAATACGAAGTACTAAACAAAATGGTGCTCCTACCACGAGGGCTGGAAGAGACATATAGCATAGCCACGAGGATCCGAACCATGCACGGCTAATATACCCTGCAGCGGCGGGGCACTGATTCATAGAAATAATCACGTTTGGCCGTCCATTATTGAACATCGTACTTCTACATACAGCATGCCAATAATTTGGAGGACGCGGGGGGACATGCGGCACGCGAAGCAAACTACTTGATAGGCAGTGGCACGCGAACGACCTCTTCGTCGCGTGTGTAGACCGAGGGCACACGCCGACCAAGCAAACAGCAGCACACGGTAGGCAAGGACATAACACGGTGGGCTGTGTAGAACACTTTGTTCTACCCGCTCATCCACGGGCTCGCGCGGACAGGCAAGGGGAGGCGCGAATCTCGCACGTTCTGTTCTGGTTTCGTTGCTTCAACTGCCCGTTGTTGAGGTGTGATATTCCACGCCAGCCCAAACACACAGAGGACAAAAAAAATTCGGGGAATGGCCAAACCCTTCTGCAGCAGCTGCTGCTACTTCGGATTGAGATCCTCTCTGAACAGGCCCCACAGGAACCAACGAAGGGCATGACAGCGTGCTCCACAACGCATGAACGCACACCGAAGTACTACTGGTTTGGGCCGTGGTGCATCGGCGTCCTAGCCGCGCCTGTGGGGGGTGGGGGTGACACAGAACTACATTTGCCCGAAAAGCGAGGGAGAGCAGATGGGGGCCAAAAGAACGGCGCCCACGCGGGGAGAAACAAACCGACAATTTCCCAACTCCGGGGGGTAGTTAGGCCATTGACGACGGCTAACCCATCCTGGACACCAACGCACCTTCTCTCCGAAGCCCGGCCCGCGCGTCCTCAGCTTCCTCCACTGCGTCGCTCGGCACCGCGCCATCTCCGGCTTGACCACGTACGACGAAGACAGCGAGGTCGGGCTTGACTCCCCCGTGCGCTTTGGCGGCAAAGTCGTTCCCCGCCTTGCCGCTGAGTGAAGGTTTCGTACAGAGCCGACACCGGGCCCGACGCTGAAGCCGCACGCCGGCTCCGGCGCAACCAGGGCCGCCACCGCGGCCGCGGCAAGAGCTGCCCTCGAGAATGCCATCCTTGTTGCTCCTGCTCGACTTGATAAACTGCTGCTGCTGCTTCTCTTCCGAGACCTGCTGTTGCTCCTCGTCCTTTTTTCTCCCTTCTTTTCAATCCGCTACTTTCAAATTTACTATCCCGCTGCTGTTGTTGTTCTTGGTCGTCCCTACTACCCCCCTTGTACAAATTTAGATACAGCTGGTCCTGTCCTGGATCAGAGGAAGATTGGTTTTCTTCGCCTTGCGCTTTGGCTCCACATCGTCTCTGGAAAGGTCGAGGGCAACTCAGAAGTTCATCGCCATCTCTCGTTCCGAAACAGACCCTCGAGTCCGACCCCTTTTTTTTCCCGTTTCCCCCGTTGCCTCCCTTTCTTGCGCAGAGATCGGGCGCGTGCTGCTGTTGCTGCTGCTTTCTCCCAAGTCGGTGTTCTCGTTCGGACAGTGGGGCACGTGCCGTGTGGGGCGTTCAGACGGGATGTGGTGCGGGGAATCGAGTCTTCTAGTTCGTCGACGCAGTTGGTTGGAGTTGACTGAGTAATGAATGATCAGGTCGGTTGCGTCATCTGGCCGCTGTCGCCATTCGCACTGAAACCCCGGGGATGAGGGTAACTTTAACGAAGAAAAAAAAACACAAGAAAAACAAGGAAATCTCAGAATCGAGGGGTGATGCGGTCAGACTTGCTCTCTTGGGTTCCGAAACACCGAATTTGTTCGGGAAAGCTGAGGAATTTTGAGGAAAAGTCACCCCGATCAAAAAAGTGGCCGATCACCGAAAACGGGAGGCTCCTCGCCGAAAATGCCCGAAAAAGTTTTTTTTTTTGGCCCACATCACACACCTGTTCCCCTGTCGCACACGCGCAGTACACGGCGCTCATCTGCTGTGTCAAGCACGTGCTAGTAGGCCTCCAACCTCCTAGCGCGCCTGCTAGCACTGTGCTGGAGTATCTAGTCCAAGCAGGGTGGTTCAGGGAGCTGCAGCACAGCAGTGTACAATACTGCTGCTGTCCTTCTCTCCGCCCCCTAAAGGTTCGCTCCACGCCCAACAGGAGGATGACCTCGTTGTCCCCACAGCCCGCCCAGCGTGGGAGCGTCTCTGTCGCCCGGAGCCCTTGGAGGGCCATGGTGGTGGCGGTCATCCTTGTGTACGGGGTGTTCCTGCTGGTTGCTCGAGACGGCCAGACTATGGGTGTAGCGCTCCGAGGTTCCAGCAGCATCACCACCAGCACCAGCACCAGCACCGCTGTCGTCCATGAGGAACGACGACAGTCAACGGAGGAGGAAGAGGAGGAGCCTGTCGTGGAAGAGTGGGACCCTGTGCCGGAGAGCCCTAGGATATCGTACGGCGACACTCCTCGCGAGCCTGTCAAGGGCGGGGTCGAGATTTACCCAATACAGGTACACACGGAAAGAGCGCCGTGGTACATACTTTTTTTTTTTTTTTATCGCACACTGAACGGGATGCAATCATGCGCGGGTGCATTGGTTCGGCAGACGGCAGCAGCAACAGCAGCAGTATACCCAGCGACACAACCGTATTGTGCGGTAGTGGTGTTTCACCCATGTGGTTCATGCCGTTTCGAGCATGACCTTGATCTCCGCAGACTCTGTGTCGGCGGTGTACATGCATACACATGCACACATGTTGATAGATCGCAAAGGTGTGCCGATGGCGAGACCGTTCGTCTTTCGTACGTAAGGGTGGGTAGAATACAACGACCGTCGTGTGCTGCACCCTTTTGCTCATGATTGTGGAGAACCTGTCCGTTGCTGGAACAAACGTGAGCGGTGTTTAGCGATCACCTCTAGGTACTTGAAGTTCCCGTTTGAAGCACACAGCTGTCCGTAGGTTTCGTGTGGTACATACCACGACACCACAAACCCCTGAACCGATTTCAAAGCGTGAGTACCGTGGACTACAAACGACAGCAGTAATGGTGCCCACGAACCTCATCGAGAGCTTTTCGAAACAGTACCAGTTGGTGTTTGCATCCTCGTCGTCGTGGGGTGTGGTACTTTACGCAACCGACGGTATGCACCCTCTGAAACTGGATTCGTGAACTCAAGTTACCCAACCACGCGACCATGGCTATCCAACGCCAGTGCGCGCATCGAGCACGACCCGGCGGCAACACGCAACAGAAATGGGGCGAAGGTCGGCAAGACTACCGTATATGACACAAGATAACATACCCCCTGGACCGATTTTCAAAGCTCGATTACTCCACGACGAAGAGGATGCATAAATGAAACAATACGTTTTCGAACAGCTCTCGAAGAGACGGTTCCAACGCCGCCGTTTTCGGCGCTGTGACTCTTCCTGCTGTTGAGAAATCGAGCTTTGAAAATCGGCCAAGGGGGTGTGTTATCTTGTGTCATATACGGTATGCTCCCGTGTGTCCACCGTTCTACCCCTGCTTTGCCAAACTACACCCACCACACTACATTCCGATTCGAACACTCAAAGTCGTGAATCTACTCCGACGAGAAGCTATTCGCAGGGTGTGGTGGGGACAGACCCTCTTCAGACGGTATAATAGATGATTGTTTCGACTATTGGCATGGGCCATCAAATAGTGGTGAAACCCCCTTCTACAATAGCATAGGGCGGTGCCACCCCCACAGTCAAGCTCTTATTTAATCCACACCTCGCACCGAGTGCGCTACGCCGCATCTTCGTGCCACCGATTTCGTCGGCTCCTTTCGCCCAAACCCAAGCACCCGCAACTAACTAACCATACCCCGTGCCTGCCTCCGTCCAGCAACCATCAAGACGGGCCCGGAAGACGACAATCCCTCTGGTGCCGGAGGTGATGGAAATCGAGGGGGTCCCGACGGCCTGGAAGATGCCGAAGGAGTATGCGGAAGGAGGGGGCGAGGCGATGAAGGGGCTGTACGTCATGTTTCACGGGTGCAACCACGGCCACATGGATTGGTGAGGTTGGAGATATGTTCCCCCGTTGTGTTTGTTGCCCGCAAGGGCTTGATTGCACCTTGAGTCGTGTTTCGCTAGGGAAGAGCTGCGTGCCGAAATAACGGAAGTACCCCCCCCCCCCCCAAGGGGGAGGAGGGG